TTAGGAACCATTTCTGAGCATCCCACGCACTGGATTTCACTGACTACAACGGAACTAACATTACGGGCGGAAAAATATTTAAAAAGCTACGAATCGTACACAATTAAGCGAGAGACCACATGTCAACTAAATGTCAACAACGGTTTTACCGAATAATTCAGAGAAATTAACACATCGAAGATTCGACGCTTGTAAATCGCACGCGGCAGGTCCTAAACAAACAAGATACGAAACGAAACTGAGAAACTCGCGGTTGCGCAGAGTTACGGAGGGGAGAGGGGGACTTGAACTCTCCAACACAGTCGACCAGATTACGTGAATACGAACCACATGCGACCTCGAGGATGACTCATCGCTGTGTTGAAGGTGGTAGCATCGCAGTTTCAAAGGGGAATCATGCGTCATGCCTATTCATTCCGCTCTTTCGCTCCGTAAACTTCGACGCATTTTGTTCATTGCAACGTATTCAGATTTATACCAACAAATCCGAATTCTTGTGCCATTATTAGATGCAATTTTCGATAACGCTATTCGATTCGCGACCTTTCATATAACGTGTCTCATTAATGCAACGAATGAACACTGTTATCAACCATCAATTTAACTGATAAGGAAAGGAGGGGAAGGAGAGACATATTAGATTCCTTAGAGGAGTTGATTGTGGAAACAAAAACTTTTAGCATTAGAACGGAATCGTTTTTCTCTAAGACTTTGTTTAAGAATTTGTAAAAAAAGTAACGCACAAATCACATTACAAATCGATGACTAAATTGCAAAACCACTTATCTCTATTGCGGAATATGGAGGTGAACACATGGATTCTATTACTGCAGTGCTCATTTAAATCACAATGTATTGCCTCAGACAAGTTTTATTCACAATTTGTAATACTCAAATCACCTATTTAAAAATTGATTTCCAAAAAAAGTCCCAGATCGATGGCCAAAATGCAAAACCACACATCTCTATCGCGAGTTTTCCACACTTTTTCAAAGTTCTCGCTCGTTTTATTTTTTCGAACAGAACCTCGCATATTTCATAGCTTAATATTTACACAGAAAATTCTGCTAACAAAGAAGAAAAATCCAAGAAGTTATCAAAACATCATATCGAGTAGTTTTCCAAAGAAAAAATATACCATGGTAGAAAGTCTGCAATGTCGCAAACGGATACGCAATTTCGCACTTTGGCCAGTTTCGCCATCGATATCATTCCTTGAACAATGGTACATACTGAATTTTAGTAACTAGTATATTCCAGGGATTTCTTTTTGTCCTTTTGAGTCGTGTGCATTTCTAGTTTCTCCTATCGAAAAATAATTCAGATGAAGTCCTAAGATTTGAATAAGAATAGCAGCAGAGAGGAGGAGCGCTTTTGCGTTTCATTCATAAACATGAGAGAAGGAACGTCGCTCCCAGGTGATATCTCCAGTGGGTGGGTATCTCTGTGGTATCTTATCCGACGGATGTGACGTAAAGATGATAAACGTAATCGATAAACGATATTAGTCGCGACGTCACCGAAGGAATAATCACTGCGTCAAGTTCATACGTCGAAAATGGTAGCTGCAAATGGGAGTAATCAGTGGTTGCTCAACAGTCGCTATTCCGTATGAAGAGGTCTCCTCCTCTTCCTTCTCCTTATTCTTCTTCTTCTTCTTTTCCCTCTTTATATTCTTCAAAATGGGTACCGAATGTATTCGAATAGCTCAGACGAACTAATGATAAGCGCATCTCCGAAAATCATCGATTATTATAGGGTTACACTCAAAAGTTCACGGGAGACCTCCATTTCCAGTATGTATTAAACTATCGGTACCAAACATCAACAATGACGGAGCCTCTCTCAATGCCAGCAATGTTAATAAATCGAATTGTATCATACTCTACAGCGCTCAGTGCCGGTAACGCCTTCATTGGCGCTTGGATGCAACTATTCGTGTTTAGATGTTGCGCGCGTTGCACTTTTAAAAATTGAAGGCGCTCCAGATATTTTCACATGAGAGGCTATCGAGTCGAGTCGGATCGATCGGATTGCCTTCAATTTTTACTGGTACAACCCGCGCAACATTTGAACACGAATAGTTGCATCCAATCCAAGCATTCTCCATCCGACCTATCAGCTGATGAATTTCGCCGAAGATCTGTAAAAATTCCTCTTAACGGTGCTACAATAAAGGCGTCTTTAAGCCTTCCTAAACACAATGTGAAGTATCCCAAGTAGCATTTTTCAACGGAAAAATCGCGATATTTTTAATGATTCAGAAAGGCCCTCTCTGCACCTATTGCTTCAATTTCAGTCCAAAATTTTGTTGTATTTGGATGCAATCAAAGGAAAAATTATGGAAATTTTCATTTAGAGACGCTTTACACATCGACGACGTTTTACAGTAAAAACATAATTTGCGAGAAGAAATTTTACAATGTTGGGATGCAATTACGTTCTTTCATGCGGGAAACCACCAAGACGGATTGACAATTTGCGCTCACAGTGCAAAGATTTCTAACCGTTATAGTCTCTCCGCGATGAGCGATGATGGTATGGATAGAGAGAGATGATTGAAGCGGGGGCTTAAGAACTGCCATTCCCGAGCAAGCGGTGACTGACTTGCTAACCGGTCGACCCTCAAAGGTCGTTTCAAATCGTTCCTCATTAATTCTATATTATGCCAGCATTTATTCGCCAAATCAGTTCCATGCCTCTCAAATTCATACGCGATGATTTCACGCACCGCTTTCGGCTTGCTCCGCCCAGCACGGCATCGCGGTGCCCCGCCGCGCCGGCGTTGTCAAATTTCTCCTGATAAATCACGAATTTTCAGGAAAATTTTTGACTTTTCATCTCGGATCGATGAGGAACTTTCAAGAGGGACGTTATTTGAGTTGACGTGAGAGTAGGAGGGCCAGGATGCCCCCTAGAGGTCTAATTAAAGGCCTCTCTTAGAAAAATGTGTGAAAATTGAGTATCTCCAGGATGCGATTAAGGCAATTTAGACATCCATTTGCAATGTGGAATCACTGTTTCTGGCTCATCCACAAAATCACTGAAATGTTACATTTTGAAATTGGGAACTAAAATTTCTGGCTCACTGTAGGGACGACATACCGATGGGCAAAGTGCGAAACCAGTAACTCTGTTTTTGACGTTGCTGTTTTTCCAGTCATACTTTATTTTTCTTCAAAAGCTACTCGAAGCAATGAAAACTTTTATGGTTTTCCCTCTCTTTTAGCAGAATATTCTGTATAATTTCAAGTTGCAAGGTTGGCTTGCTCCTCCTCAAAAACGTAAAATATAGGATCGGAAATTTTGAAACACAGCTACAGAGATATGTGCGGTTTCGCATTTTGGTCATCCATATGTACCATTAGTTTTCCTGTGCTTATGGTGCCTTCATGGATTATCCAGAGATCTTAGTTCCTTGGGTATTGCAAAATACAGTCCGAATAGCTTTCTCTCAAAACTGCAGGTTTTAAACCGCTAACTTCAAACCGTCTCAGCTGCGGTTTGATTTCATATTCTTGGGTGTTTTTGGTGAAAAAGTGGCAGCATAATCTTAATTTCGATTTTTTCAGATTAGAAATCCCTTATCCTTTGGGTGATCAGAAAAAATTTTAAGAACTTTATGCACAGTTGAAACAAGTATTCGTATTTGAGAATTTCAAGGAATAAAATCTATAAGCTTTGTTTAAAATTTCTTTTCTTTTACAGGATATCTCGCAGCATTCGATTGATCATACGGCTTTCCTCCTCTGCTTAGCAATGTTGTCTGCATTGAGTCACCAGACTTGGCAAACCTGCTCGTGTTAGGCAATTTTTTTCCCTTCAATTTTTTCAGTGTACCATTTAGACGCCGGAAGGTATTTTTGTTCAAGATGGAAAAAATAATGATGACTTTATAGCCTACTATTCGTTGTTCTCGACGCCGTGTACAAGAATTTCGTCGAGAGACGTGGTGAAAATGGCAAGTAGCACTCATGCACATGTCTTTCACATAGATTTAACACTGAGGTCAGCGCCAAATACTACTGAAGTTAGTGCCAAAACTGACTGAGGCCAGTGTAAACAACCTTAACATCAGTCTTGTTCGGTGTTAGCTAGGCGCTGAAGAAGCATGATCTACCGTTTTACCGATAACAGTAAGCTTACAGTTCTTTCAATTTCCTTCCATCGATTCTCTTCTTCGTTCCATCCTATATAGTTGTCCATTTTCTCAAACCTGAACTGTTCAAAATCGAGGAGTGAAATTCAGTGCCGGAGTCTATATTGCGGCCAAAAACCCTGACTAATATGAATGCGAACTGAAATTAGCACCAATATAAAGTATGACACTCCGCAAAAGAGTAGATTCCGTTTCGTTATAGTGTAAGTCATTCCGTAAGGAGAATATATTCCGTCATGCATTCATGTTATTCGGCGGGGTGGGGGGAGGGGTTTGGACACAATATAGACTCCGGCACAGAATTTCACGCCAAAATGTTTTACAGTGTGCAGTTTCATACCAACATTGAACCGCAGGTTTGAGAGAATGAACCAAGCTTCGAGCGGAAATTTTGATTTAAAGAGAGAAGTTTTAAAGTCAGGTTTTGAAAGAAAATGGTACCACTTCGATGGCTAAAGAACGAAACCGCGTATCTCAATCGTGGCGTTTCGAAATTTTCGCTTCTGTTTTATTTTTTTGAAGAGAAACCAGCAAATTAATACCTTGCAATTTACTCAGAATATTCTGCCGATAGAGTAGCAAAGTCAGGGCAGTTTTCAAAAAATTTTGTGAGCTAGTTTTCCAAGAAAAATAATAAGTATGACAGGATGTCTGCAATATTGAAAACGGAGGTACGTGCTTACGCACTTTGGCCATCAATTTTATTTTACCTAAGATAGCGGATGGGTAGCTCTCTTGCAGAATCATGCAAACGTCCTGCAGTTTCGACTAAAATGACCTAAAGGTTTGGAGACTCATCGAATAGTCATAACATGTTTTACGCTAATTAACGTGTACTTACATTTTTGCTGTAAAAGTGAAGATAAAGATCGTTTTCTGGAAGCTCCCACTGGTGGTAGATACGATCCTTCCGGTTTGTAACGCCAACCATCTTCGGATACGTTCTTGAAATCATCTAGGGATCTGGTTGCTAAAACGCTCGTCATTTCGCACGATTCCTCTGGAAGAAGAGAGATATTCTCCCGTTAGCCAATTTGAAATTTTAACTACACTGAGACTTCATTCTTTGAAAAATTGCATAAAATTAACGAAATTTACTACCGACCGAATAGTGCCATAGTTTAAAAAGATGGGTTTATTCCTTTTCTTTCAGGGAAAAATGTGACGTAGATAAACGAAGTAAAAAGTAAACTGAAAGCACACAATTTACAGTACAACAAGCTGATTATTGAATGTGATAGAGAAAGCCCAAAAAAAAAAAAAAAAAAAAAAAAAAAAAAAAGACAAAGAGATAGTTGGACGATCTATTTGGTGAAAGCAAAAAAGTAATCATTAGCTTAGAATGTTCAGTATTGTGAATTGAACGAGTTACTTTGGTATTTGAAGAAGGGCTCAACCGCCAAAAGTCGCGTTACGAGAAAACATGAAAGCTCTTAATAACTTGGGATGTAATGAGATCACGATCAGACAAAGCAGGGTCCGAAAACTTTCGAAAGAAATAACATCTTTTAAAATTATCGTGGATACGCCCTTTTTCTATAAAACCGCCCAGTATTCTGCCGTTTTTAGCAGTATATCATAACAGTCTAACAGCATGCGTGTTCAATGATAATTTTTAAAATCCTAGTTTGTGTCATTATTTTTGGTTTCTATATCATAGGAAGCACTTTGAATAGATGACTCGGAACTTACGCCCTTTTTCCCCCCGAAGCAAATATTCAAATGTTAAAATAGACGCTTAAAGAGCAATTTTGGTAGAATCACTCTGTAGTAAATTGTACGATACTCCGTCGAAAACGCAATCTCTGAAAATTTGGCGGTTATGATGCCCTTCCTCCGACCCATTGGGCTGCGTGCATCGTTGCGGTTGCACCTTAAGATGAAATGATAACGTGTTGCATCATCTTGGAAAAGAGGACCATGACGCATTCGCAGGACGAGAATGAGTGCGTTTAAACAGGCGAGGCTGCGGCTGTGGTTGTGAATGGGGCGGACCAAAACTTCTTCGTCACCGGCAGATTGATCATCAAACCAGATCCGACAAAGACAGTAGCGTGGCCTGGACAAATTTCCAAGGTCCAAGGCCAAAAATTTCTTATTCGAGGGGGGGTTGGGAGGAGAGGGAGGAAGGGAGGGAGGAGAGGGAGGATGCTGCAATAAGAAAAATGCTTAAAGTCGCAGAATGTGACCTTTCCTTAGCGAAAATTTTCGACTCAGGGGGAGGGCAGTTGATTATTGAAATTGAAAAACAAAGCTGCAGACAACACTGGAAAAAAACACATTGGATCGAGAGTTCAGACTCTTAAAAACATTGACAAGAAATAATACTCTTGATTCAATCAGATTTTTGCTTAAATCAAAAGGAAATCCGCTCAAATTAAGAGGCTTGGTTCTTGATTTAAGCAAAAATCCGATTGAAACAAGAGTATTTATTCTTGTCGATGTTTTTAAGAGTCTGGACTCTAGATCCAATGTGTTTTTTTCCCAGTGAAAGTGAAAATAACGCGCCGCAAAAATAAATTCAGACGCCGTGGCACGCTGCGGTGCGGCGGGCGGGCAGAGAGTGCGAAACGCGCATTGGCGCCTACAAACCTAACAGGGATACTTCACGCATTGCGCAATGCGTGAGGTATCCCTGTTAGGTTTGTAGGCGCCAGTGCGTCGCCGCTCCGCTTTGTGTTAGGCTCTAATATTTAATCTCGCGGAGTCAGCGTTTTTCAACTCATAATGTTGAAATTTTTGCACACTCTGTATGGACTGTTCTCATTTTAATTGATGAAAAAAAATATGTGTTAAAGGAAAATATGATGTGTGTTTTGTAAATATTAAGGTAGTTCGGTATCAAACTTAATGATTTCCAAAAGACACGAATGTCTACACAATTTCTTATAGCCTTTCATAGCCAATGGCGATAAAGTGTAAAGCCCGGCGATAGGAACTATAGCCCGACTGTATACTTTTTTATAGCTTCATATAGCCCGGCTATATGATTTGCTCCGCTTTCTACAGCCAGCTATATGATTTTCAATAGCCTTCTTTAGTCGGCTGTAAGAACTCCTATGGTATTTTGAAACGCAGCTCCTATCGCCAATTTTTACCAGGGTTGGGTTACATTTGAACTTCATTTTGCAATTAGGAACTACAATCCCTGGCTCATCCGTAAAAACACTTGTGTACAGGGGGAAACTAATGGTATATAAGTTGTTTCTAAACTGAGAAAGAAATTGTATAGTTCCGAATTGCAAAATGCAGTCATTTCAGCAAAAGAGAACCAACGTGATTACACTGCTTTCAAAATCATGTTGCTTCTTCTGTGCTAAAAAAATACTCAATATATACACTTTACTACATCCCACACGATAGTTTGTCCTAATCTTGAGGATATATATCGGTAAAATATCAAAAATTATTTGCTATTTTGGGCATATTTTATTGAAAGACGAAGATGCACGATAATTAAAACACTGTGAGTGATCCCGTCGCGTTGGTTCCCTTCTGCTAAAATCATTGGCGGATCCAGCAAATTGGCAACGTTGCTTTTCTCCATTTAAACCTATGGAAATGTATCGATTCTTAGAGGGGGCAAGTGCTCCGACAAGAATCACACATTGCTTAAACATTGCTTTAAATGGAGAAAATCCGGTGTTGCCGCCAAATTGCTGGATCCGCCTCTGGCTAAAATACGAACTCATCGAACATTCTTTGTGTCCCTGCTGCTCTGGTTCAGCCAGAGGTGGATCCAGCAATTTGGCAACACCGAATTCCCTCCATTCAAACCTATGTTAAATAATCGATTCTTGTCGGAGCACCTGACACCTCCAAGAATCGATATATTTCCATAGGTTTAAAGGAAGAAAAACAATGTTGACAATTAGTTGAATCCGCCGATGAGTTCAGTGCGGTTCTATAGGGGTAAGAAGTCTCTCCAGCTCCTGAATTGTTGAATCGTTATCGACTAATTTTGATCGCTGTATCCGTATCTTGAAAAAATGCTAAAAATCGATCAATTTTATTCGATAAAAATGCAATATCCGGGCCTTAGGTTACTTGTAAACAGCAAATCTGAATGTTTAACTTTCTTCTCACTAAGCGCATCCGCATTGGAGGCGATCTGCTCCACAAACCTGGGACGCATCTTATGATTCTGAAATCAAGATATTTTAAGCTTTGACATCAGAATCTGGATTGCTTTACGATTCGATTGCCGGATCAACGAGGGGGATTATCATTTGCATTCGGCCGTGAACGCGGAAAATTATTATCGAGTGTTGGAATTCGCTCGAGTTTTTATAAAGGCCGTTCGTCGTGATCGGTACGTCTGAAAATATAAGATGATGTCGTTACACCTACTCCTAACCATCGCTTTTGAACGATAATGGAGATGTTGCATGTGTGAGGGATTTGCGATTCGACTGTTGATTCTTATGTCAAAGTTCGCGAGAAACACGATGGTGCCACTGGTTTTCTCTGAAATCAACTCCCAAGCTCAAAAAAAGCTCTCAAGTTGAGGCCAAAATGGAGGGGATATCCCACCCTACCCTGAGAGTCCACTTCTACGTCAAGACAAACTCTCCATGCAAAGATAGGGAGCAAACACATTGACAGGGCTGCCACTATATTTGGGGACTCCAAAATTGAAAACACGGCAACCCTGCTAATGTATTTGCTCCCAATCTTTGCATGGAGAGTTTGTTTTGATGTAGAGGTGGACTCTTAGGGTAGGGTGGGATATCCCCTCCATTTTGGCCTCACTTTGAGAGCTTTTTTTGAGCTTGGGAGTTGATTTCAGAGAAAACCAGTGGCGCCATCGTGTTTCTCGCGAAATGTTACATAAGAAACAACAGTCAAATCGCAAATCCCTCACACATGCAACATCTCCATTGCTAAGAATGATTGATACAGCTTCGTCTTATTTATAGCGTAGACTTCGCTACCCCAATTTTAATAGCACACCGAGGAACATTTTTTTTTCTTTTTTTGTTAAAAAAATCATTTTAATCTTTAAGAAAAGACTCTTTAGAAAATTAGGAAAAAGTGTTTTAAGGCTTTAAACAACATCGTAAAGACAGCAGGAGTATTGACTCATGACGTTGTGTCACCGTCGTCGTTACATTCCATTTCGGTGGCCGAAGTGCAAAACCACGTATCTTCATTGCGGTGTTTCAAAATCTTCGCTACTATTCCTTTTTTTTCAAAGAGAGACAATCCAACCTCATAGCTTGTTTGTACAGAAGATTATACTAACAGAAGAGAAAAATCAAGGTAGTTTTCAAGAAATTTCATGTACAAGTTCCCTAAAGAACAAATAAAGTATATAACCGGTAGTCTGCAACGTCACGAACGGAGATACGTGGTTTCGCACTTTAGGCATCGATTTGTATCTGTTTCCAGAATGGTAGGAAACATTCCAGCAACATTGAGTTGTATTTTTAATGAGTCACTTTAAAAATATGTTTCATCATGTCCGGAAACTAAATTTTTACAGTGTATTTGTAATTTCTAATTGAGAAATATTGTACGGCAATGGTGCCAAGAATATTACTGGTAACACAACGTAATTAATCATCATTGCCCCTGCCTAAATTTAATTTCCATGTGAGGTATGATAGGACATATGAACTACTCTAATTGCAATGTTTCAAAAAGATGTTGCCTAAAATTTGCAAAAATATTGTTTGACAAATTGTAATCGAGTGCAAATTAATGTCGTAAGAACATTGCCTCAATTCTCCTTCTGCAACTCCCCTGCCGAGCCGAAGAACGCGTTGTAATTAAAATTGCCCTCGACCTGGCTCTGAGATCTCCGTAACGCTTGGTTACGTTGTTCAGTCCCTAAGGTCAAAATTTTTAGGAACAGTGTTGACCCACTTCAAATCTAAAGAGCGGAAATTTGATAATTATTTGTTACAAAGAATTTCCATCCTCTGCAGCTAAGAAAATTGGTGCATCTTCCATGCAGTTATATTTAATAAAAATATGTCCTGTACTGTTGTAATTACAATATACTAAGCATGCGAGTAAAATCAAGTTAGGATTTCGGTGTGTCACTCAAGACTGTGTAATGTTGCGTCGCTATGGCGTCAGTTGTTTCGTCATCGGTGGAAAAAACCGAGGATGTATTGGATTTGGCCTACTTTGAAAATTGAAGGCGGAATAGCAAAGTGCGAAGCTCCATTCATAACCCTTCCGATTCAAAACATGTCCATTTTTCAGTCAAGAGATCGCCTCTGATGAGGAATCGCATGGAGTTTGTAAAACACTTGAAAGTGTTGTACACGCAACAAGATTCCTGTTACAAGTTCAAGTGAAAACCGCTTTATAGTAGTAGCTACAGACTTTTCCCCACTCACAGAGCATGCTGCTTGTAAGACGATCATTATCATATTACATTAATGGATCTCGATGTCGTGTGTCATAATGACTAATTCTTCAGTGACGTCACAGCAATATATATATTCTTGTGAATAACTATTAGATGGACGAATTTCGGCGATGTGAAATGCAGTTACACTCTCGGACTTCATTTTGCAATTTAGGAACTATTATTTCTAACGCATCCACAAAAACACTTATTTGCGTGGAGAAGCTTAAGGCACATATGTTGTTTCTAAAATGAGCCAGAAATTGAAGTTCCTTATTGCAATATGTAGTCTAGTTCGGGTTTCGTCCGTCCAATTACTGTACCGATAAAAAATACGCAGCTTTTTTGTAACGTTTCAGAATCTTAGATCATGTCCAATATTTTTGAAACGATTTGCGAAATCGCAATAAAAAGTGCGCATTTATTGACTTCAGCAATCGGCACCACATTTAAAGCAGTAGGTAAGTGAAAACGGTTCACTCAGAGAAAAAACAATGGTTAAATCTACTAAATCAATAGTGTTCCATATGAAATCTTAATTAATTGTGATCTTATAACCGATAATAATGGTATTTATCACTATTACGGGATAATTGGAGTGACGTAGTTGTAAAATTACCAACGCAGTGGTAAAATACCACTTTCACAGGAAATGACTACCATTGATTAGAAGTTATTTGAAACACAACTAATATCGATGGTCAAAGTGTGAAACCACGTTACTCTGCTTGCGACGTTATTGCAGACTTCTTGTCATACTTTGCTGTTCCATTGAAAAACGGTCAACGTAGTTTCTTGAAAATTTTATTGATTTTTCTCCTGTTTTAGTAGAATATTCTGTAAAAATTTCCAGTTATTAAGCTGGCTTCTTTTTCTCCGAGAAAATATATCAGGAGCAAAAATGTTGAACACCGCAATGGAGTTACGCGTTTTGTACTTTGGACAACGATATAGTAATTTTAATCATTGTTTCTTCTCAGGGCACAAACAATACCATCACGATCGGGTGCGCTAGGGCATTGCGGCAAGAACAAACCTCGTTTCCGGTCAAGTCTAATCCAAAAATCCACAGATAAGCGACACTGAGGCGGGCGGTACTTACATTGGTGTACTCGAAACAACACAACACTGAATCCCTCGTGACGTCACTGAATATCTCTACTCGCGGAGTGCACCACTACACACTACACACTACACTTGACACACTGGGACCGGGAGACATAGCCGTAGCACAGGAGGCTGGCGAACTTACCGGGTGACTCAGCTGGAATATCGGAACCCGACGCGCGACTGCCCGCCGCCGCCGCTGCCGCTACCGCTGGGTGAGGATTTCGTTCGGGTCCTTGGCAATCGCCGTCACCGCCGCCTTTTCCGGAAGACACAGACATGACGACCCAAGCTCCCGCCTGCTTGCCGGATTTCAGCCGACTCGAAGTTCGAGCTTATTCACTCCGCTGCAAGTATCGCAATTGATGCCGGATTCGCCATTCGAAAACATCTGAAAGGGAGCATAGAATAGGAGAACCATTAGAAAAGAGAGGAGAAAAAGAGGGAGGCGAAGAAAAGGGAGGAAAAGGAAGGAAAAGGGAGGAAAAGGGAGGAAAAGGGAGGAAAAGGGAGGAAAAGGGAGGAAAAGGGAGGAAACGGGAGGAAAAGGGAGGATGAGGGAGAAAAGGGTAAAGGGGAGATAAGGGGAGAAGAATGCAAGGGGTAAAGAAGGAAAGGGGGATAAGGGGGGAAAGTAAGAAAAGGGAGGAAAGGCGGGAAAGGGTGCACATGGGTAAAAATGGGAATAAAGAGAGGAAGAGGAAAACAAGAGGGAGAACGGAAGGAAAAGAGGGGAAAGAGAGAGAGAGAATGGAAGAGAAAGGGCCGGAAGGTAGAACAAGGGATAAAAAAGAACGAAAGGGATAAAACGAGAGCAAATGGGAGCAAAAAGTGGACGTTTTTAAAAACATACAACAAAACAAAATTTTAATGTCATAAATGGTCAAAGTATGTAAAAATTTCAAGTCAAAATTCAGGAAAATGAGGAAAAATTTCTAAGTCTCCAACCCATCGAAATCCATCGATATATCGAAGTTGATATTACTCCTTTCGATAACATGCCACTTTTTTGTTAAAAAAAGTCGGAAAACGCACATTCGCGCTCCTTGATCCATACGTCAAATTTTCTTCTTGGGAAGAGGGGAGAGGCACACTAAAAAAATAATTGAAACTGATAACAGATGGAATACTTATTCTTACGGGAACTATTGAATATTTTCCCACAAAATTTTTAAGTATTTTGGATTGAACCGTGCGAAAATTTCTCCAAAAATTTCAAACAAAAAAATCCACAAGTTTCCCGGGAAATCCATATTCTTCAGAGAAAATTTTGCAACTTCAAACCCTTCATGTAGCGATTTCTTTTGCACGGCATGGCAGTACAACATCATATAATTTCCCGCCAAAAATCGCGGAATGCATTCTCCGATCCCAGCCGATGCACAATCGGAATAAGTGGCCATCCGATGTTCGGCAGCATTGCCTCAAGGTTGCCGGCGTCGCGATCCGATCGTCGGCCCGACAAGGTTAGTCGTCGTCCGTTGTCTGTGGTCGGGAAGCGCGCGTCGAGCCCGCGAACAGAAATAAAATACAAATGTAAACGATGAATCGCGAAATTTCAAGATTTCCCGCTCCGTGCGAGGCGTCGAAGAGGAAGGGCCGACCCCNGGGGGGGGGGGGGGGGGTTAATTTTAGCCGCGGAATCACACTCGATAGCCATAAATACTCGCGGGGTGCAGCGACTGAAAAATTGCCCGCTCGTTAACCGCTAATTTTACGGATCGGTCGAAACGGAACATGGCCATCATCTGATGAGCCGCGGAATTTGTGCACTCTTACGGATTCGAGGGATCGTGGGAAAATGGGAAGGTTAGGTTTTGATGTGGGCGGAGCGTACATGCCGCCGTGCCCGCCCACGCGTGATGTGAGGTTATGGTCCTCCGGGAGGGGGGGGGGATAAGTGAGGTGAAGAGGGAAAAATTGATTTTTTTTTAAATCTCCGAAGGGTTTACTGCTGACATGTGGCAACCAGGTGAATCATTTGCCTTTTTAGGTTTTTTTCAATGATGGCACGTGCTAGGAAAAACGCACTGACCAACTGACATTCGAACAATGAACTGACTCATTGAAAACTAAAATTCAATTACGATACAAATGCCCGTTTCCGGTCAATGTTTGATTCCCAGTTTGAGGAGGATTTTTTGTAATTTTCAGAAATAAATTAGATTTGTCTCTATTCAGTGATAATTACCGCTTTGTCCGAAGTTAGTTTAGTTGCCTGGTTGACTTGAACTTACCAGATTTCACTGAAATGAATGTTAAGCTTCTTTATACGGGATCAACCCACGTAAGAACAAGATATCGGCGTCGAGCGCCTTCAATTTCACGCGACACTGCAAGCCTCGCTCCGTAGTTAGTTTAGTTGCTATTTCAGCCGTTCCCACCTTGGCCACCAAAATGAGGATTTCGTTCTGAGGGAGCTCATTTTTATGATACTAATTCCAAAAAAATCAAAAAAAAAATCAAGCAATAATCGAACTAAATAGTACTTTTCCTTCTTTCAGAACTTAGAAAAATGCACGAATGCGTGACTCTACAACTTTGTAAATTCTACAGGTCCAATCACTCTTTTTCCAAGCTACATTCTCAATTCTACCTCATAAAAATTCATTTTGCCGAAAAAAACGATATAGTTTTATGCGGTTTTCTAAAAGTTGGAAAACGTGATTGAAAAGTGAAACGAAGTATGGTAAATTTGACGAGAAATATGATAAATTCTTTCACGAGTCTACTCAATTTTTGACACAATGATATTGTATGGTAAACATAACTATAGATATCTTGATAGATTTATCAAGCAAAGTCGTTTCCCGTGCGAAGAGCGTAACTCCATTTTAAGGTTGCAAAATTGACCAAAACAATTAAATTTTTTTACAAAAATATTCCTTTGCAATTTTTGTCCAAAATGTTTCTAATAATCGCATGAGATCAGAAGAAAAATTACTGAATTTCTGGTTAGAAATGCCCAATATGCACTTGGTGAAAGTGCAATTCACGAGGGGAAATTCGGCAACATTGCAATGCAGTTACGCTTTTTTGTGAGGGAAACGACGACTTTTGGTGTATCCGATCAGAGTCCCAGTATTCGGTACCATAGAGTATGTTGGTAATTACCATACACATATCACTGTCGCTCAAACAATACTTGTTTCTCTCGGTGGACTTTACCGCGTTGATTGAGTGTTGTGAAACATTAAATTTTGTGAAATTTCACTGTTCATCTGTGACTACTGTTGGTGACTGCTTGATGATGCGGAATATCCGTATGGCGTCATTCTCTCTCCCATGGCAATCCGCGGAGACTCTATTGTGTGAGGGACCAAGTCATGTACGAGTGACGTCATCGCGTTGCGGAGCTCTGTAATTCGTCGTAGCGCTCGATTATGATCTAATTGGTGATTATCTGAATGATTAACTCATCCGCGGAGGGTCGATCGTGAAATCATCGTTGAAATCATCCCACTGATCTCACGACTCTAACGGAACGTCAAATTCTTTCTCATTCAGAAGGAGCCCCCACTTCGAGGTACCCTGTTCGTCGGAAAACGTTCGCGAAAAAACAGAACGCCGCGCGCCGGAGGCATTTTGGCAAATGCCTCAGTGCAATTAGTCAAACGTTTTAAGTTCCAAATTTTTCTTTACTTGACAAAAGGAGGGGTATCGATAAGGGCCTTCATTTTGGGGCCAGCCTGAATTTCCGCGACCCTGCGATTATTTTGCTCAATGGAGGTCCATACTTTACGGAATTCGTCATGATTTGGTCATTTTTGGTCTCTTTTCAGGTCTAATACTGGCCTGGACATAAGTCTGAAGGCCGATTTTGGCGATAAATTCGGGTTTTGAGGGTATGCGGTCGAATGCCGAAAAATTCGCATTTTCCATCGAAATCGGCCCTTAGACCTATTTTCAGGCCAGTATTAGACCCAGAGAGAGATCAGAAATGACCTAATCATGTTACATTCCGTAAAATATAGAGCAAAAAATCGTAGAGTCGAGGCAATTCAGCTAGGGTGGACCCAAAAACGGACCTTATCGATACTCCCCCTTTCCACGTTTTTACATCACTTTTCCCCGTCAAACAATAAAAAATGGACTACATTTGGCGATTCGGAACTGCAATTTATGGCTCAGTATATAAACAACATATGTACGGTTAGTTTCCTTATGAAAATAAGGGTTTTAAGGATGAGCCAGAAATTGTAGTTCCTAAATGCAAAATGAAGTCCAAATGATCTGAATTTCATAATAAATCAATTAAGCAATTTTATCGCTATTAAGAGGACTCACACCACATACTGCGCTTATACTGCAGTGCTAAGGAAGAACGCCGAATGAACATTTGAGAGTTGCCAAATTTCTTTCGATGAAAAAGCTATGAATATTTTTCCTTGAAAATTTCCGGAACTTTAGGTGGCATTGCAAGCAAAATTGGAAGAAAATTATTCATCAGTTAACCAGAAAATTTGTGTTTTATCGAAGGAAATTTGGGCAACGCCTGAAGGTTCATACGACGTTTTTCCTTATCACAGCAGTATCCGGGTCGAAAGATCCTAAAATACGGTCCTGCAGAGAAAAATGAACTCCCGGCGTGTGAAATGTGAATGCGGACGATTTCGAGGAAATTAAATACAGCTAAGGACGTTCCACTTTGGTGGACCCGCGGGCTAATAAACGAAAGGGATACGACGAGCAGTTGCATCAAGACCAGACGCACCAGTCAGGGACGGAGAGCAGGGCCCGGGGCCCTATTGAATTAACGAAATCCCGTCTAATGAGCCATGTTGAGCCTCCCCGGAGGATTGCAGATGAGTGTCTGCAGATAGTAGTCCCTCCGCAAACAACTCCCCAACCCTAGCTTTTTCACCGGACGGGAAGGAGTGAGAGTGCGTTCCCCGTCGAAGAGGGGTGGGTGAGCTTTACCGCCCGGATTTCTATGACTAATGACGACCAGAGTGCGCTGTGCGTCACAAAAAATTCAGTCATACTATCTCGTAATCTCACCCGGGTGATTAAAGTGAATGAGGCTGCGGATCAAAGCATTAGTTCTTGCGTTGAGGGAGGGCGTTTCGGAGTGAAGGCCCTGTAAGCCTCTGGCACAACGGGAATTGCAGATATTGGTAAATCTGTATTTTATCATGTTCAAGACTTCTGGTGGAGGACTCTAGTTGCCGCATTAAATTTGGCATTAGCTGATGTAGCTTGGTTTCTTTCTGCGTGCAACGTAGTCCATTTGTTTGACAGCCCTTCATATTTCAATGGCTTCGGTGCGAAACCACCTATCTCCGTTTGCGACGTTGCAGACTTCCAGTTATTTTTGATTTTTTCTTTGGAAAACTGGTCTACTTGATTTATGAAAACTTAAGTAATTTTTCCTCTCTATTATCAGAATATTCCTTATAAATTTCAAGCTACACAGTTGACTTGTTTCTCTTCGAAACAATACAATAGGAGCAGAGATTTTAAAACACCGCAATGGATATACGTGGTTCCGCAGTTTGGCCATCGAGGGCTATAGAGCCCATTTCACCGTGGGACGAGCCATTCGGAAACGTCGAAAATGGGGTTTTTGACTAAAATTGCAAATTTTAATGTTTATTTCGAAACATTATCAATTTTAAAGGGTGTCCCTGGAGGGGAGGAAGCTTTCACGAAAAAAGTGATGAAACCACTCGCAAACCTCTGCGTTCTATCTCAGCGATCGCCAGCAAATTGCAATATATTTACAAATGTCGAATAATAATAATAAAAAAAAAAAAAATTGAAAATTCAGAAGGAAAGAAACGCTCAATATAGAAAGTATTGATTATTATATTAATCTTTAAATTTAAACTTATCGACGATAAAACTATCTGCCTACGTAACTCGTTCGCTGTATTTAAAAACCTCCGCTCCTATTTTATTTTTTTTTGAAGGAGAACAAATCAGTATCGTCCCTTTAGATTTTCATAGAAATTCAATCATAGAGAGTAAAATCAAGGAAGTTTTCAATAATTGACGTTGAGTAGTTTGCCATTTAAAAAATAAAGTACGACAGGAAGTTTGCAACGTCGCAAACCGAGATACGTACTCTGGTAGTTTCACCGTAGATAAGATTTTTTTTCTTTTGAATACGAGGTACCAGCCAATGCACTCACGAGTATTTGTTGTGAAATCAGTGTGTTAGTTGGGTTTGGTTCGGATAGGCAACTAAACTAACTTGGTGGCAACGCGGAGAGTATCACCGGGCTTGAAGGCGCTCCAAGCCGAGGGCGTGCTACGAAAGGTTTTTACTAATGAAAATTTTACCACATCGACGTGAACTATAGCGTTTGACTGGTTAACACCCATGGCGCTTGCTAAGTGACGGCGAGCATTCATAGTCTCCACGTCATATCGACGATATTATCATGACTTAATCACATTTCCTAATCATTTAGATATTGGGACCACTGACTGTGAGAGACTTTCATGAGCGTTATAGCGGGAGGAGGGGGCGGAAAGGTGCTTATTTAAATCAGAGCTATAATGGTTTGGAATTTCTAGGTAAAAAAACTTGGTTTTTGAAAAAAAGGTTGATTACCGTTTCGGTCTACAATTTTGGGAATTCAAATTTTTCGGGTCAAATTAAAATTCTGTGCCATTTTTTGGCACAGAATCAGAATTAATCAGTAAACCAATTTAGACTGTATTTCCTGAAGATTTCTTCCGGTCATCAACTTGTTTACCCACACACTTCCTAATTTAGATTTTTCTCGCCACGCGCTATATGCTCAGGTTATACACTGGGAAATTTTACATTTAAAACGCTAGGAACTTCGGGTGAATATTCGTTGCAGAAGAATTCCAGTGGTTTAAAAAACAAACGGATAAAAACGCTCAGGTGGTTTAAAGGGAATCTTTTGAATCGACTGGAATCTTTTTCTGGGATTATATTCAATTTACGTTCCGTTCTAAAATGGAAAAAAACATTCGGAGTTCTGGCTAATATTGATATACAAAATATTTTTTTTTTATCTCTTAATTAATAAATGAAAAATCTAAACCTGGTCAGCCATTTTAGCCACATATTATTCTGGAGAAAGCTCTCTTGGAAAATCTAAATTAAAGCTCAGAGAATATTGAAACTTAATCGTTATTGATTACACTCCCACATCAAAATAAACAAATTCAACACCAGCAGGGCCATGAAAGTCAAAATCATGGACCATAATAGAAATCTGGTATAGAATTCTGACTGTATACCAACCATATAGCTTACTTTTACGCCATTCGACGTAATCTTTGAAGTTATTATACCGAAAGCCACCTTTCTAATGCGTCTCTGCATTACTTCAAATCTACCTTCTCACCAGTGTACGTCAGTACATCTCAAAACCAGAATTCTTTACAAGAAATACTCAATAGAAGCTCCTTTTAATTAAAACACGGATTTTCCGCAAAGTTTCCAGGAGCCACGGAGACAGAGAAAATAACAGTTTGTGAAAGTAAAATCCACGTATATAAATCGGAATTGGTGTCGACTTACCCTTGGAGGTTACGTGGTGTCCCCATCCCTGACAACACGGCGCGGCGTGGCGAACCCCCGGTCTGAACTGACTCACCGCGCGATGACGTCAGATGCAATAAGTCGATCACGGCTGACATGCGTGATGCCGCGATGCGCCGTGGAATGCTCACAGCCGCTTTTCCGCAGCTTTCTCCTCACCCTCCCCCTTCCCGCCTTGCACAGGCCTCCCTCGCCGGCAGTTTCCCGCCTTGCGGACTTTCAGCGTGCTTCGGAACCCAATCAAAAGTCAAGGTGAATCGAACGGGATATTTGCGGAAGGGCGTAACCGACAAAAGTCAAGTTTCAAGAATGCATGAGAAAACTAGATTTCTACGACAATTGGCCCGAGTTTATTAGAATTGAACCAACCCACATTTTTTTAAAAAATTGAGTCAAGAATGTTTCTGAGTTCCTTTAGTCATATATTTTCTCCTGCTGAAAACTGAAAGTCGAAAAAAGTTGAAAAAAGTCGAGGAAAAGAAATTAGTTTGCGAAAAGAGGGGTTAAAGTTTATTTTCTTCATTGAGTCTTATGCAGGAATAAAACTTCAAACCTCCTTTTCTCAGTTTCAACTGAATGTGGGTTGACTCCTTTCTGATGAACTTGGTCCAATTCTTCATAGATATTTCTGTCAGCGGAATGCGAAATACGGCGATGATATGATAATTGAACCGATTATTTTCCAAATCACCTAAGCGCCAAGCTCTATTTTGGTGGTAAAGGGGCGTTGTTTTCTTTTTGTTTTCTGTGGTAAAATCAATCATGTCTGATTTCAAAATAACCCTCTGAAAGATAATACATGTTTTGGAATTCGAAGATTGTCAACAAAGCGGATAGAACGGTTTCTCTTGTATTTCTTGCATTTGCAATTTTGACGCTTACATGATTTGGAAAATAATTGGTTCAATTGACGGAAAAATTACCTTAATCACCTTTTTTAGCTCCTTAAAATTCCAGCACTTGTACTACACAGTGGGATGCATTCAACCATGCACAATTTCTGTCCCACGAAACTCTATAAACAGGAAAAATTGACCATACATACATAAATTCGAGTCGCTTTTCAGCGCACCCGGGCCCTCTGCGACACCTAATCGCCATCCTTGCCTGTCTATCCAGGGGTCATCTGGTAAATGGCATCTTGAGATTTCATCTTGAATGCCACCTATCCACGATTTTGCTGGACGTTCCCTACGTCTTCTCCCTGGAGGAACCCAAACGAAAATTGACCAATAAACTAATAAAAAAATGGAGATATATTGACAGCTTTTCTTGGGGAAAGCTCTAGATTTTTGCGGAAAGAACGACCTAACATGAAACAGTTAAAATCCAAATAAGTGCAGATTTCAGAGACATTATTGCTGATTTGCACACAGCACTGACATTTATAATTTTCACTAACTACACAGTATGAACGAAACAAATAATTTGAAAAAAGGTCTTATTGTTAGTTTTTTCGGAAGGAATGATTGTACAAAAATTATTGTAATCCGGATCTTTATCCGATCATGATCTGCGAATGATGTCAAGATTACCGAGACACAGACTGGAGACTTCCCAGTGCCATTCGCATTTGGAATAATTTTGTGCGTTTTGAATGATTGTGATCGCTTGCGCGGGAAGAAGAGAGGAAATCCTCGGAAAAAGCCGTGGATTTTCCTGGAAAAGACGCTCAAGCCCTACCGTAAAACGAATATTTATTTCAATTGAAGTGATCATTTAAAAACCGCAGGCTATCAAGTGACACTAAGCACTAAAAATGTATAATTTTGATCGATTGCGAGGGGAATGAAGAACAATATTCTGAGAAAAGGTTCGGTGGTTCTCCGTTTTTTATTATTTTTTTCTAGATGAATTGATATAAAATGGTTGTAATTCAGATCTACATTCGATTACGATTTAAATGAAGTGAGGCACAGATTGTCCAGTAGCATCATTATTAAAACCTGAATGTTATGATATTGATCGCTTGCGCGGGAAATTAAGGAGGATTTTCTCGGGAAAAACTCCCGATTTTCTTGGCTTTAGAGTAATAAATAAATAATTATATTTATTGTCGAGTTCGACGTCTCGCAAGGTCGCTCTAAATGTCGGGACGAAAAAAATGATCTAGTAGATGAAATATGACTAATGCGGGGGTGGATAGACGCATTTACCCCCGCAGTCAACGCATTTTCGTCTGGAATGATGGTTTTTTCGACTGCGTTCGTAGTTTTAACCCCCGCGACTTCAAAGCGATCCAGTAGAATGTCGAACTCTATGACCACTATGCTACGAATGAGGTCCAAGTCGATGTTTTCATTTTTTAAATATTTTTTCCCCACGACATTTGGACCGCGTTAAGCAGGAACGCCACATCAGCTGTTGCCAAATTTAACTGGGCAATTCAATTTTTCACATGAGAACGGTTGTGCGGATTTTTGTACGAATTTCAGTGTATTTTCAAGCAAATTCCGTACAATTTTCGGAAGAATCCGCACAAACGTTCTCTTGTAAAAAATCAAATTGCCCAGTTAAATTTGGCAATAACTGGGGTGGCTTGGTTCCTTTCTACTTAACGCGGTCCATTTCGGAGCCTTAGGGACTTTCTGCCGCGATCGAAAAAATTTAAAAACTCGGTATCGATATTTGATCCATCCCCGTCGAAATACCACGGTGCGGTCAAACCGGGGTTTCATCCATTGCCTGAGCTTTTTCTTCATTATTTTACAATCTTCTTGTTCTCTTCACATGTACTAATTTAATGTTTTTTTTTTCGACAATGATTTTGTTATACGCTCAATCAATCAGCTGCATCAGCTGCCTTGTTAATTTCTTGTCGATTTCTTTCTTGTAAATTTTGTATGGTCTTTTGAAGAATATACTAAAGAAAAAAAAATCAATATTTGAAAACCTACTGTGAAATACCGCGGTGCGGTCAGTCCGGGCTCTCCTCCATTGCTTGAGCTTTTTCTTCATTATTTTACAATCTTCTTGCTTTTTTTTACATGTACTAATTTTAATTCTTTTCTTTTCGACTATGATATTGTTATATGCTCAATTAATCAGCTGTGTCAGCTGCCTTGTGAATCTCTTGTCAATTTCTTTCTTGTAAATTTTGTATGGTCTTTTGGAAAAAAAAAAAAAAAAAAAAAAAAAAAAAAAATCATATTTGAAAACCTACCGTGAAAAGTTTAAAATCCAAAGAAGGGGACGATCCGAGACACACGACCCGAAGACGGAAAGTTAGACGGACTACCCGACGAAGCACAGAAGCGCGAGTGCCGCGGAAGAGCGAAGCAGGGGCCGTGCATGGTCGCGGAACAGAAAAGGAAGTACGAAAGTGTTGAGTCGATGTTGATGCTGTCATAAACGCTTAGGATCGCCCCTCAGAGGAGCTGGAGACTGGGATCCTATCTTGCCTCCTCCGTTCCAGAATTAGTCCTCCTCCCGATATAAGTAGCCATGACTCATTCGGGAAGTCGGGACTCCGCCAGACTTGAAAACATCCCCTGCTCCATCTCGAGTGCCCTGACTCCTGCTGCTTGGCTCCTCCGTCCACAATTCGTAAGTAAGGGCGTATCTCTATTACCGCATGAGCCTTGGGAAGCATGGAGTTTTATCGGGAACAGGGCTCACGTGGAAATTGAGATACGTCTTTACGTCCGAGGAGCGACAATTGCCCTCCTCGGCACAAACTACACTGCCGTACTAAGGAAAAAGTCGTATGGACCTTCAGGAGTGCCAAATTTCCCTTGATAAATCGCGAATTTTCGGAAAAATTTACGAATATTCCTCTTCCGATTTTTCGGAGGGTTTCGTTCGAAATTTGATGTAAAAAGTCTGAAAATTTCAAGGAAAAATATGCATAACTCCCTTCAAAAATATGTATTTTCTGATAGGAAATTTGGCAACATTTGAATGCTCATACGGTGTTTTTCCGTAGCACGGCAGTATGGGAAAATGTTGTGTAAACATTCGAGAGTTAAAACATCCAATGGCGATAAAATTCTATTGTTTAACTTTGAAAATGGTTCCTTACGAAATTACAAAATACGAAAACAAATATTTTGCAGGTTTTTGTTAATTTCAAGGTGGGCCTCAACCGACCCGAGGCTTTGTGCGAATCACAGAAACTTCAGCTCTGACCAATATGTTTTTTTTGCAGAGACAAATCATCGTAATTTCTAGCAAAGGATTCATTTCCGAAGTTATACTGTTGCTTTTTACTAAAGTATCGCAAAAATTGTCCATTTTATGATGCAGCGTTAAAGACCTTCTAAAAAAAGGAGATGTCAAAGAAAAAATAAAGCATTATAGGAAGTCTGCAACGTCGCAAATGGAGATACGTGGTTTCGCTCTTCAGTCATTGACATCTTACTAAGATTCTTACGAATGAACTCAGAACTTTGTTTCATTGCATAATTCCAATCGAAGCCCTTTCTGAATACACTTCTTTTATTCAGAAAGGTCGTTCGGACGCATTCTTGGTCCCTTGGGCCGAATGGAACCACATCAATGGAAATTCTACGTAGGTACACAGCACACATTTAGTCATTTCCCAGATGAAGGAACGTAACTCCATTCCAAGGTTGCAAAATTGACGCAAATGATTCCATTTTCACAAAAAAAATACCAGCGCAATTTTTGTTCAAAATTGGTCTGATTTTCGCGTGAAATCAGAGGGAAAATTAATGGAATTTTCGGACTAAAATGCTCAATATTTTCTCCTGGTAAAAATGCAATTTTCTTGGGGACATTTGACAGCAATGAAATGCAGTTACGTTCTTTTTATGAACGACGATTTGATGGTACCCGGGTTAGATCGCATAGGTCCACGTGACTGCAAAGGAAATCCAACATTGATACTTGGTTTTTGCTTAGCAGAGCCGCCGGAGTGTTTTTTAATCACTGGAGGCGTTCAGAACCGCGTAACTCTATAATGAAAATTCAATGCAGATACGTTGTTATAAACGAAATGCAGGCGACGCGTGTGACTGTATGCAGCGTCCTCAGTCCTCACCCCCGCTTTCCTAGCCATGATCTGAATTGAGGCCTCAGCTCGGAACTTCATTTGAATAATGCGTTATGTGGGTGCGTAAGTAAGCTCGCCGAAGGGGAATAATTGGGCAAATAAATATTTTCACAGCTTCCCAAACTCAATTTGTCCCGGTTTGTTGATAGAATGAATATGTGATGAATCAATTTGCACTTTTTGTGCGCTCCGTCCCGTTGCCATTTGGGGGCAATTGAGCTTTATTTTCTTTACGACTTTTTTTTTTTTTTTTTTTTTTTTTTTTTAAAGAGCGAAGGCGGCCTTTTTTGTCATATGTTGAACAAAAGCGGTCGTTACCACCCTTGGCGTTGGATGGAGAGGGATCGAGTTGGTGCGACGCGACGATTCTCAGAGGGTCGGTGGGCTTATTAAAATTGATAGACAAAGAAATAGACAAAGAGATCTACGGAAAAATGGAGCGATCTTATTGGTTGAAACGGTTAGTTGCTAGGTATAAACGATGGAAAAAGTATAGGGCCCGTCGGGGTTGCCGTTATTTAGTTTATTATTAACCTTTTTTTTTACCTATTATAACAACCCACTTCCACCAACAGAATTGCTCCATTTTCCGAGTGTCTTCTTTGTCCATTGCTTAGTCTATCAACTTCAAGAATCAGCCCGTAGTTTTAGTTTTTCAGCGTCTCGATTGCTAGAGCATTATTGAATGACTTTAATCGATACCAATATGTAGCAACACGAGCTCTCACGTGTTTGCAACGAGAGAAATTCGATCGTTAAATTCCACCGATGCTCTGAACTTATTAAAAAAAACATTAAGTAAACGGGAGAAGATCACATTAGTGGCATGTCAGTTTGCCTTCAATTTTTAGTGTAGGCAACACGAGCTCCCACGTGGTCGAATAGTGGTATCATCGCGCAATGGTTAGCTCACTCGAGACGCATACAAATAAGAGCTTTTTATCGAACGGGTGGATGGGGATGGATACTACCAGATCGACAAGAATCAATTGAAATTGATAAACGTGAGCCGATCGACATAGATTTGCTCGAAAAATAATAGACAAACAGGTTCGTTCTCATTCTTCGATTAAATTGTGTCACTCGAAACAAGCCCAACAAGCCCTTTTGCTCCGGTAAATGTCAGGAAATTACTCGATTAATGATGGGAGCAAATATTAAAATTATAATTAATGGTGAGGCATCCGGAACCGTAAGTTTGGTCACGAGCTTTTCAGCAGTACCGAAGTGAGATAACCATGCATGTTTTCCTCCAAATTCTGCCGACTGCAAATGCACCTTGGAGGCGAAATAAGCTTAAAATTCCAAAAAATCTCGCTTCCCTGGTAAAAATTGGCGGTAGGAGCTGCGTTTCAAAATACAATAAGAGTTCTAATAGCCGGATAAAGGAGGCGATAGAAAATCATATAGCTGGCTGTAGAAAGCGGAGAAATAATCATAGAGCCGGGCTATACGAAGCGATAAAAAATTATGAAGGCGGGCTATAGTTCCTATTGCAGATTATACACCTTATCGCTATCTGCTATGAAAGGCTATAAGCAATTGTGTAGAAATTCCTGTGCTTTGAGATTAATTAAGTTTGATACGGAACCACCTTAATATTTACAAAACAAACATTATATTTTCCTTTAATACATATTTTTTTTAATCCATTAAAATGAGAATAATCCATACAGAGCGGCGTGCAAACATTTCAAAATCATGAGTTGAAAAACGCTGACTCCGCCAGATTAAATGTTAGCGCGTAACACAAAGCGGAAAGGCGACGCACTGGCGCCTACAAACCTAACAGGGATACTTCACGCATTGCGCAACGCGTGAAGTATCCCTGTTAGGTTTGTAGGCGCCAATGCGCGTTTCGCGCTGGCCGCCCGCCCGGCGCCGCGCTGCAGCGTGCCACGGCGCTTGAAGCAACTATTTTACACCAGAGGTATTGCACAGTATCATACGAAATTGAAGGCGCGCTAACATATTAGGAATGGCAGGCATCCATCAAAAGTACGAAGCTTTCCTCGCAAAATAAATCAAGATACTACAGCCCAAAAAGAGAGCGGTAGTCCAAAAACTCACTAAGTCCTAGCATCCGTAATTGGTAACATTTAGTATACACTTTATCGCCTGGCTGTTGCTTAGTCGCCATCGGCTATAAAAGGCTATAAGAAATTGTGAATCCGGCTATAGAAGCTATTGGAAATCTTACAGCCGGCTGTAGGTCTATGGTATTTTGGAACACAGATTTTACTGCCAATTTTTACCAGGGTTCATCGGCTGCAAGTTGGTAAGTGCTTGTGACATCCGTAAATATTTTGGTGACCCAAAACATGTCCACATGTCAAATTTCTACACCCATTTTTTTAAAAAGAAAAACAAGTTAACTTTATAGCTTGAAATTTATACCGAATATTCTGCTCACAGTGAAGAAAAGTCGATACTTGTAGATTTTAAGAAATTAGGCTGACTAGTTTTTCGAAGAAAAAATAAAGTATGAGTAGGTCCGCAACGTCGCGAATAGAGATACGTGGTTTCGCACTTTGGCCATCAATACTTCGTCAAAATGTAATACGTAAATTCTGTAAACAACTATAGTCAAATCGATCCATACGGTCGAAAAAGGATGCCTCTAGCTGAGATGGTATCCCAGATGCAAGTTGGACGTATTTCTGTTAAACGGAACTAAGCGCCAAATTGAGTTCCTTTTGAGGAGTTTAGAATCATGTAGAAGTACGTCCGATTATCTCATGGCACGGCGCGGTAAGGCAACTAAACTAACTGCTAGACAAAGCGTAGAGTATCACGGGAGCACGAAGGCGCTCCAAGTCGGAATCGTGCCTTTGAAGGTGGCAGACTTCGCGTGTGTCTATCATTCAGAGTTTTGCAAATTCTTTGAGCATTTTAAGACTCCAATCTTTTGCTTGTCCTATTAAATTTTCTTCATTTGTTCATTTATTTATTTAATTAATCAATTCTATTCGACTCATTCGTTTATTTTATTTTATTGTGCTCATTTCATCTTACTATTCGTGTATTTATATGATTCATTCAGTTACATAATTCATTTATTTAATTTATTTTATTTTTTAATTGATTTCATTCATTCATTTGTCATTTGGACACAGCTTGAAAAGTTGTGTCAAACAATGCAATAGTGCAAAATGCAAGATGCGAGCAAGTTAGTTCTGTTTATGACCACTGTACGTCGTAGCGCCACGGTCGTGAGATAACGAAGATAAACAAACAAAAAAATGTGAACGTGTTGTGTGTTGATAAGTACTTTTTTCCTCGTAAAAATGCTTTTTCAGTTATACATTTTTATCCAATCGTGCGTTAATTAGTTATATTTAGTATTAAGAAGAGGTTCTACCTAAGATTTCAGAGTAATATTGTTTACTTCTCTCATCTCTGTCAAAATGCAATCTCACAGTTTGCAGGATGACGAATCTCACTGGAATTCGAGTGATATAGGAAGTTTTGCTTTCGATTTTGATGATGTAAGTTTTCTTTATTTTCTGTAATGAGTTATCAAGTACTCTCCATAATTGGAGGCATCACTTACTGCGCAAGCCTCTACAATCATGTTGTTTATTACTGAGTCGCCCATTATGACGCTGCATGCCTCTCCTGCTGTTTTGTTTCAATTTCAACTCTCCTCTATTTTTATAGTGGATTTTCATGATGTCTGAAGGAAATTCTTTGCAGAATATGGAAACAGTTTTCACGAAGAAAGCATACATCCTAAGTTTGACCCTTCAAACTTAGGCTCTTAAGCTCTGTAGATAGTTTAGCGGTTATGTTGAGCACCGCTTTGTACTCACCATACTTGATAACACCTTTTCGACATCCATAGCAGTTAGCCAGCCCTTTGAAATACTGTCTCTACCATCAGGCTATTCAGATTGTACCTTATCAATCCTAAGAATGCCTGAGAGTATAGGTTGTTGACAACTGCAAACTGTCAGGTTATTTCTTAATATGTCTAAGTATATTTTGTTAGTTGCACGGTAACTCTCCATAATTGTATGCGAAACATTTTTATCATACTACGACCAGGGCTTATTTTACACAATTTTTAGAATTCAGTAAGTCTCATCAGTAAGAGGATGTAGATCTGAAGATAAGTCGCTATTTAAGCAAATAATATTTAAAGTTCCAAACCTCTTTGAGAAGTTCTGCCCAGTTTTGTCTCATCAACCATCAACACTAATGGGCACCATCGCCGACATATTCGACCAATCAGACCTGACGGTTCTCGATAGATCAAACCATTTTTAGGACCATCTACTGAGGCGGTACGAAAATTACGTGGCAACGTTGCGATTTGTCAGTCATCGAATTGGAAGTTACAAACTCAAACAAAACGGCAGGTGAGAGGTTTGGGTGTAAAAGTAGTACCGAACCTCTAATAAAATTTGCTCCTTTAATTTTCAACTCGTGATTTTATCTATTAATTTTTTGTTTCAGAGCCAAGAACCCATAGGCAGTTCTAGCCCAATTTCAAGTGGTCCATCAGCTGGTAATTAATTATAAACTATGAATTTACCGTCATCTTTTTTTTATCAAGATGAATTCATCACTATCACTATCACTCTAACAAGAGGATCTATATTGAAGAAATAATTGTTTATTTTGAAGTTTGTGTCACAGACAGTTTTGAGTGGCATCTCTCTCACTTTTTCACTTGAGATGTCTAATTTTAATAGATAGTTTAAGAAAAAACTGTCAATTATCCAGCTAATCAAAAAAACGCACCGGAAAACTGTTTTGGTTGACGTTTGGCAGGAAGTATCTGTAAGATATTTCCAAAATTGGAAAAATCTGCCTCTTTTTTTGCAACAAGTTGGGCAGAGTCTGTAGGTCTACTTTTATTACTCTTATTTTTCGGTACGTTTATTTTTCTAACTATATATTAATCTTTATGCCATGAATTAATTTTGGCTCTCAGATTCTGAGGAATACTAATTAATGCTGTGGCTGTTGTAAAAACAAAAGAGTCTTAAATTTTGCCCTCAAAATTTTAAAATTTTGCCAATCATTTTTTGTCAAAAAAGAATACATTGATTAAGATTTACATCATAGCACAGAGAAATAGTTCAGTTTTAAAAAACCCGAGAAATGGGTTGTTACGAATAAGTAACGCTGTCCCATGGAGGGTTAAGACATGCATAGGCACTGTCTTTTAGATAAACTTGATTTCTTGAAAAACGCATTGTGCTCACATGACTACATCATGCAAGCGCATCTAAAAATATTTATTCCTTCAAATTGGATGTCTTGCTTTGATTTATGTGTTCAGTGAATGGTATTGGAATGAATTCATTCCATGAATACTACTGATGTAATACAAAATCACAAATTATTTCGATGGTCAATATTCATATTTTCCTACTTATGTAACTCTTCTTTTCTTTTTCATGGCTATTCAATGCATTTTATCTTTTATGTTTTCAGGTGTTTCTTTCAAAAGGAGTGAGGTTGAAAGTGAGGTGCCCCTGACCACGCTAATATCTGAAAAAAGTATATTTTTATGTAAGTATACTCAAATTAGAATGGTACCTATTCCGATGAGGTTACACTTATTTTCAATCCATTGTCCTCTGGGCATGACGGACATATCTAAAAAAGTTTCAACTCATCTGACAAAAGCTCTATCATTTTCCAGTTTAAAAAATGAAGCTTTACATTTTGAAGCACCCAGAGTGCATGAGTGTTAACATTTTATGTAAAAGCTCCTTGGCTATTTCTTGAAACATTGTATGTTGACAAATCTTAAAAAATTATGGAAGGTAACAGTCAAGATAATCTGAACAGTTGGAACATTTTTTTATAATTTGAATGTTAGAGAGGGCTTAATAGGGCCAAAGATTGAGCCAGGATAAATTTAATCTTTTTGATCTAAAAAAATGATTCAGAATTTGTCATCACTAGCATTGGAAAGTGCAAGAATGGACACAGAAAATTATGAATCCATGAAACTTTAAGAAGAAAAGAAAAAAGAGGTCTGTAACACACCTACCTCTGAAAAGTATTTGCTCGCAAGCTCTTAATATTCAGATCTCATTCCTTTCATATTTTTTTATATTGTCCACTTTTTCTCATCATTTCTTTACTTTTTGCAGTGATTTATGGTGAAAGCATTGATGCTGAGATGTCAAATAACACAAAGAATATAGAGGAGGAAGTTAAGTATTTAAGGCGGCAGGTTAAGGTAAGAATGAACCACAAGGCAGTATTAGATTTTGATGTCCCATGCACAAGTTGCGGCAGTATTTCTATTAAAAGGAATCAATTTGTTATTGTTCAGATGTTCTGGCTCTTTGTAATTTTAGAACAAGTATAGATATGGTGATGAACTTTTAGAACTGACCCAGGGGAATTTAGAAATGAGCAATGTGATAAATAATTTTTGCTCCCCTGGTGTGTGTAACTGCATCTTGAGATGTCCCTATAATCCCATGCTCTCTACGGTCCATGTGAAAAGTTGTGATATGTCCGCATGTCAGAGCAATAAAGTCATGTGCGGTTTATATTTATTTTGACAGAAGAATTCAAAGCACAATTTGACCTCAACTTACTGGGACAATAAATTAAGGGGTTTAGGGGCTGAGGGCACACATCACAAAAGGCCCAAGCCCCTCCTTTCCAGGAGATTAATAGAACCTCTTGTTTCAGTTCTTTTTGCCGAAAATTATTTTTAATTGGACCTCAAGAAAAACAGATTCATCTGTATTGATAGATTTGAGAAAGATTTATCTGTAATTGTCAAGACAAGTAAGATTCTTTAGGTGGAAATGCTCATGAAAGCAAGGGAAGGTGATGCAGAAAAGCATGACAGTCTGAATTGAGATGCATGCATAGACTGCTCAAGACTCCATCAAAAATCAACGTCTCTAGGGTTTTTACGATCTCCCTGTAGTTAACTTTGTCATACTGTATACACTTTCAGCTTACACACCATTTAGCAAACGGATCTTTTTCAAAAACCATTCAAAGGAAAACGTTTTATTTGTCCTAGATTATTGCAGTAGCTATTTATCTTTCAATCCTCCATTATTGCTAGAATGTCTGCATGACTTTATCCTAAACTTGGCCCTCATATGACTCAAATCTATTCTCTAAGTAGATGGGTTATTCCTATCATTTTTAATGTTGATAGATCGACACTGCTTGAAGATATCCACTCAGTAATTTTTAGCAGATCAGGGCTGTAAAATTATTTTACAGCCCTGATTTGCCATGTACAGCCATATTTTTACAATTAAATAATGATGTTCCCTCTCAAGCCATCGTAACTGAGTCAGTTATGACAATCTGATCATTTTAAAACATACTTATTTTCTATTTCAGAACCGATGGCAAACACCTAGTGTCAAAACCACCATAAGTAGGATGTTATTCCATCAGCCTGTTTCATTGGAATTATTTCGCTCATTCACAAGTAAAAAAGCACTATTGGAAGAAGCTATCAGTGTCGGCGACGGAGAGACCGTCCTTTCTGTGAGTATTTGTAACATATCATCTAAGTTCTCTTATAGCTGGCAGCACCCCCACTTCATGTCTATGAAGTACAGGGTGGGTTCACCAAATTTACTTCTAATCATACTGATGGTGCGTCTCCATTCTGAAGCATAGATGATGGAAAATATCTTTATTTTTTCAAATATGCTGATAATATATATAATGAATAGCACGTTGGGTGAAGAATATATTCCTCACCAATCATTTCCTTTAAACAATCTTAATCCACTTCATTGGTAAAGTATTTCCGAAAACATTTTCTGTGCAAAGTACAAAAATAAAATATGCATAACGGCTGACAACAAAGAGCACTAATAAAGGAGCGATTTATTTTTCCAAGTATTTAGAGGAAATGTATCATTTCGAAAATGGCACAGCTTGAAAGTTTAAGGAAATGATTTATAAGGGGTCACCATCATAATTTTCTTAAGCTGACATGCTACTAATTAGTCATTACATTTTAATTTCAGTGTGTTCGAAAAAGTAATCTTGTTTTTAATCATTAATGCTGCAGAAATGAAGGAACTGTATTATCAAGTTTAAATTCTGTAACCTGGATTCAAACCTCAGATCATATGGATACAAAGCACCTTCTAATTGCCACAAGTAACCTAGTGTTAAGATGGTATTAAAAACATCGGACACTAAAAAATACTTTGAATCTTTAAGGCTTGCAAATACCTGCATTTTCTATGGTTATGACATTGTTAATTGGTTGTTACACAGTATATCATATTCTAAGCTTTGTGTTAAGTACCATTAAATTCATTTGGATCTCTGAATCTTTAATAACACAGTTTAGATCAGCGGTCTAGAGAAAGATCAGTGGGAAAGAAAAGTTCCTGGTATGTTCATGTATGTACCAGGCTATTCTAGAGAGAAAATTTAACCTAAATCGTCAATTTGCCTTCTCAACAATGGCACTGAGTTTAGCATTTTTCAGCAATCATCAAGGAATGAAAAGGGAATTGTTTTCTTTTCTATCGAAAGGGATTGCTTTTTAAAGTGCATCGGAAGTAATTATTTGGCCCTTATTTACAGATTGTTTTGTACCTGAGTAACTCATTGAAAAAGTCATTATTTAATCAACTGTTGAAAAAATACCCTGTGGCTGTCAATCAGTATGCAAGTTATTTATCAACAAAAATGCAGATTCAGGAACTGTCTGATTTGTACATGTGAGTATTTTTCTTTTTTTAACCGGAAAAGAAGAATTCTACGTAAGTTGACTCACGGTCAACCATAATATTAAAATTAATATCATAGTAGTGATTAATAAACCAGAATAAAATTAATAATTGAGCAAAACAAAACCACAAAAAGTGAACGAAATAGGCGCACTTATGTAACAGAAGTCTATTCACTTATGAGCTTTAGAAAGAATACTTGCGAAAAGGATAGATCGCATTTTGAGATCAGAGTTTGTTTTAAGGCTAAATTGAGGGAAATTTAATAATCAAGAGAGGCTTTCTTCAATCTTTATTGTTAATGTATACATGATACGGATTGTGAAACTATTCCAAACTCGCCAAAAAGTTGAAGTGTACAAGAAAAGAATCTCCGAGGGGAGCACCTTCCTTACTTTCCTGGCATTGCAGTTTTCTTTACAATGAAATGTGCTATCTATCCAATTTTTCATGTGAAATTAATTTTCAAGCACTGTTGATCTACATACTAATGTCTATGATTTATTTTGTCCAGAATGTTGGGACGAACAAAAGATGCTGCCGTAAGTATACTTACTTCACTGATATATTTTAGTTTATCCAATTTACTGAAGAGATCAGAAACATAACAAGACTAAAATGGAGTTCTTGTAAAATATTCTGTTTGAATGAGGCTAAATAGTCTCTCACAAAACAATTAAATTAATACTTGCGGAAAGGGCGGAAATCCAAAAACTTATGAGCCTTGGCTTCCGTTGTTAATAATGTCTGGTATGGCTCATGAGTTTTTGGACTTCCAATCTTTTAGCATATCTTGATTCAATTGTAGGAATGGAGAGACAAGACTGAGGTAAAAGTGAAAAACTTGAAGAAACCTAGTTATGTTTATCAACCGGATCAATTCAGGAAATGACTTGCATAGAGATGCTCAGTGGGAAATACATTCCTGAATATTTTCAATTAACTTTTCTGTATTCAGTCAAACCTTCTGCCTTTTAAACATACTTGTGGCCAAGTATAGATTGAAAGGTCCTCTATCTCTAACATTTTGCATCGATCAGTTTCCTCTTAAAAGTACCCTGCATGAAATACCATAAAATTTGGAGCGGGCTAACTTTTGTTATTATCTGGTAAAATTTTCAATTCTCCCTAAGAACTATGGGCGTTTGAAATCAAACTTTTTATTTGAAAATTTCAAGAAAAGCGGGGCTGAGAAGTGAATTTTTCACTATTCTTTCTAATATTTTCTTATGGAGATGTGGGACTGATGCTATCTGAGTGTCAACGCTTTTCAGCAGTCTAATTTTCCTGGCCAACAAGGAAACAAAAGCTTTCCTTGATCACCAATCAGATATTGCTGTTTGATTATGAAAGTATGTAAACTGAGACTTTCACTTTTTAGTCCCCTTTTTTCTCGGAATCGGCACTGAGAAAGTCCAATTTCAATAGCCCCTTGTGCTCTTGAAGTCCTAAAGCACGTCATATCAAAGTTGACCAGAAACCACAAATTTTTCAAATTATTTTATGATACTAAGATTTTCCTTGAAATTTGATTTCAGATCAAAAATTTTCAGTACGCATGCCTGAATTCTAGTCAACAAATCAGCAGGCTGAGGCACTGTTTGAGTAATCACTTTTCTGATAGCCCTGATAAGCATAACCTAGAAAACTTCATCAAATTATTAGGTAAGTCATCAAGCTGAGCGATGCTTGGTTGATAAACAGCAGGCTATACTCAGGAATATGATGATTTCAAGAGCAAATTTTCAGCAGAAATGAAAACTAAAAAGTGCTGGAAGAAAAATGAGCAAAAAAACTATCATTAAATACATTAGTCATAGCAGTTATCATGTGAAAAACATAATTAAAAATGAATTTTAGTTGGTGTTAGTGTCTAAAGTATTTTAATTGGCAAGTTTTTTTTTAATACTAATTACTTTAAAAAACTCCGGCTTCCCCTTACTTTAATTTTATACAGACGCATTTTAGTGACATCCTTGGCCACCATCATCAGCTGACATCTGTCTCGTATGCAGGTTTATGTCAGATATTTTGTGTGTAATCGTTTTGTACGTTCCTGATTTTCAGAATGGCAGAAGACTGTAAATCCTGATTTATTTAGAAAATCAGCCATCGAGTCATTAACATATGCGTGTCAGCACCATTGGAATGATCAAAAATCAATCACTTCTAACCCCTCTCATCTTGTCAAAGAATTAGGTTTAACAGAGAAGCAATTGCAATGGTCGACAGTAAAAGGCCGTGCTGCTAAAAAATCCTGGGACGACATCGAAAATCTCATCATTACAAAGGTATAGTTGGGCACTTTTCTGGTTATTTACTGTTTCCCGATCAGGTAGATTTGAGCCTACCACAGGGTCCCACACCACCCCTATCTAATGACCCTTAAAGATCTCTCCCGTTTCCAAAAGAAATCTCCATGAATTTTTAAGGGGAGGGGTCCCAAACAACGTCTCCTAAAAAGCACTCAATTATGTCAAGTTTCTATCTCAATTTTTTCTAAAGTCACAGGTCCACAGTCTTTTCCCTGGGAGACATTGAATTGTTTGAGTGACTTTTGCAATGAGAATAAATGAAGTATGAAACAATGAAATCTTTTAGAATGAAATTCAGAATCAATATGTATATCAATGGTGAAACTACCTGACTGTGTATCTCGTTTGCGGTGTTTAAAAATATCTGTGCCCATCATATTTTTTCAAGGAGAAAAAATCAATATTATTCTCTAGAGTTTTCACTGAGACCTCTTTGCTCAGAGAAAGAAAACTCAAGGAAATTTTCAAGAATTGATGTTGAGTAGTTTTCCATTTAGAAATAGAGTATGACAGGAAGTCTGCGTTGTCGCAAACGTAGATACGTAGTTTCACCGTTAATGAACCATCTTGATTTTTGATTTTCCTTTCAATCTGAAAATGAAAAAGACAGATATCCTGTTGCACCCTAGAGGTGTGTAAACTTATGTAGTGTGAACTTACTTTTTAAATGGCTGAAATCAGGTGAGGTATTTTTAGTTTAAGTTGTGATAACGAATGTGCATTCTCAACTTCCCCTCTCGAATGTTTCAGACATGGTTGGGTGGCAAAAGAGTAAATGCATACTTGGCCATTGAAGATGTTATCAGAAAACTTCATGCTGCTGGAGCCCCCTCGGAGGTTCTTCTTAAGTACTTTAATCTGTTAAGTGATGTAGATGCTCGAATCAGGCTTGCCACAAGTTTGCAGTGTGATAAAATTATTATTGATGTAAGTATTTCAATGGAGTTCATTATACTTCAATGTGTGAAGGCTGTCAAGAAAGTATCCCTTTTTCGTTTTTCTGAGCAAATCCATGTAACTATCAAAGTGCGCTTTGCGTAATCTTAACATCCTCTGACATATACTTACTTTTAAAATGAGACCTGTAGATCAAAAATTGAGTATTGAAAATGGCATGTTCCACTTACCTCTCCAGGATTTTTAACCGAGCAGTAACATGGTGACTTATATGGTTTTGTGTAGGTATGTGAAAACAATTGAATGTATTTGACTTCTCTCTTAATTTTTTCCTTTATATGAAAATACTTGCATTTTTTTCGCAAACAAAAATATTCTATTGAGGAGAGTTTAGCAACATTTGAATGTTCATACTGCATTCTTTCTTAGCTTGATTATTGAAAATGATTGACATTTGCGATTGACTAGGGGAAAATGAAGCAATCTTATTGGTAACAGTGGGTGGTTGCAATGGATACATGAGGTAAGCAATAGACCAGTGTTCGAAACTCACCTTTGAGTTTTAGGAGCCAAGTGGCGCATCAAGCCCAGTTTTAGGCGCCATTGAAGATTTTGTAGGGGCCAAATTGACTTTTTGCCTATATATTACGGCGCATTTGGTGAAATGTTAGATGCAAGATGTTTTTGTAACAGACCTAGTAAGTAGCCGTAACTTGGGGAAGACAAAAGCACAAAAGATGAAATCGTGAAGAATAGAAAAAGCTTTCATTTGTAGTGCTGTAAGTTTCGAATAATCACCTGATATGAAAATTCAGATTTTTAGGGGGCAGTTTTTAGGGGCCACGTCGGCGCAGAGCCTTCAGTTTTAGGCGCCATGGCCGATTTTTTAGGCGCATTTGGCGCCTTGGCGCCTGCGAGTTTCGAACACTGCAATAGACTGGCGAATGGCAACTCACGAGCGATTCTATAGTTCATCCATTATTTTTCCCTCTAGGATATGAAAACCATTCATTTCAACCAATGAGATCGCTGAATTTTCTCTTTGTCTTCTTTGTTTACTGCTTAGTCTATCAATTTCAATAATCAGTTTGTGTCGTAGGTTATCAAATTTTAGTTTTATTTCCATCCTAATTTCATTCATTCACTAGCAATACTCATCTTCCTGATTTAATTTTTCCCGTCTTTGCAGTCGCTGACGTGCCACAGGGATCAGCAGGCTCTAATTCATCAGAAAGCGCAGTCTCCAACCCATTCCAAAATCTACTCCCAAGCTGATAGTGTTCTAAGATCTTTCGTAAGTCTCAATTTGCATTTTCATACACTGATATTTTTATGTGTGCAAAAATTGATTTTTCTTCATTCTTGGAAAAGAAAATGATACCAATCCAAAAATCACAGTTGCATTGATCAGCTATGTGTGAATTACTCTTGCTTTACAATTAAAATTGTCTTATTAATGGGTAAATGCAGAAAATGTATATCTCAATTGCAACGTTTAGAATTCTCAGAGCAAGTTTTTTTTTTCAAGGAAAACTGTTCAAATTGTTTCCTTGGAATATTTGTAATTTTTTTTTTTTTTAAAAAAAAAGTGAAGATAATTCACAGAAAATATCAACAGAAACTAATGGTTTGTTTGAAAAAAACAGAACTTGAGCCGGAATGTACGTCACAATGTGAGGTTCAAGATTTTTTACTTCAGCCATTGATACTCCGGTAAAGAATAAAGAAACATTATAATCATTTTCCTCTGAATTTCTTTTCCTTGACAAAGAAATAATGACAAAACAATGAGAAGTCAGTTCAGGTCAGGGGCGTACATAAATCTGGACTCCCTCAATTTGTTGGAATACATTCGGCTTCAGCAGAAAAGTTAATACGGACCATATTTAGTCAGATTTTTTCCGCATTCTTGTTGCACTTCTTGTGTTTATTTTGTTCATTTATTGATATTTGAGAGAGAAGTTGATGTATAGCATTAAACACTGCTTTAAAATTTCAATTCGGTTTCTTAAAATATCTCTTTTTCCTTTTTCCAGGCAACAAAATGGAAAGGATAAAGTAATTCTGTATTTCACCGGATTCTACCCTAAGTTGAGAGCTGAACAAAGAAGAAAATTGGTTGACGCCTCAGATCTATTTGTTGCAATGAAAGGTGAAAATTCTGTGGAAGAATGTAAACAGTCTGGTTATGATACATTAATGCAGTTTGTATCTACAACTGAAAGCAATTTTATCTTCCTAAGATGCATTTAATTCTGTCTGTGTGGGAATATTTGACAAAAGCATGACTTAAGATACAAAGATACCTAAGATAGCTTTTGATTAATTGCCACATCAACTTTCCCAATTTGTAGATGGATTTGAAACTGGAAATGGTTGTGTCAAAAACATGAGACCAACCTTGGTATTCCTCCATTTTTATTCTGAGCACTGTGCTTTATCACTGGAACAAAACTGAAAAATTAAAGGGACTGAGGGCTGTGCTCATATATTTCCCCGTAACTCTAATGCCTCCTTAAAATATACATATGAAATACAGAGGCTGAGGAAGCCTTCAAGTTTAAGAGATGCCATGTGTACTGCCTGTACCTAGGAGTAAAAAAGAGGAGTAAGTAGGAGACAAAAGTAATTTTTTCCTCTTTTTGATTCGAGAGGTTTTATACTCCAAGTTATTCCATGTTAATTTTGGAGGAATTGAGATCTCAGCAATTTTAAGCTGCTCATTTAGAACTTTTCATTAAGCACGAAAAGCGCGAAGAAGAACATTGGTGTACAATCTGCAGGCTCTCAGCACCAGTTTCAATGTTCTTTAGCTCAAGTGCCCTGCTTACTCCATCAATTGTAAATCCACTGTTTCCAAAAATCATAAAAATGACCCGTAATACCATGATGACTGCTTTTGACCCTTTTTTTGGCACCAAATGGAGCAACTTCCATATTTTTAAGTACAAATATTCTGTGCTTTCAGAGTAACATTCAGTGTGCTTCTCTGTATTTGTACCATTGCATGAACCGGAGGTTCTGAATCTATCAATTTTATATATCTGTGATAAAAAAAGACCCCCAAAATTCCTGTACTTAGTGCATGCAAAATCTATAATTTAGTTATTGACCTCTGATAATTTTATAGTATCAACGTTTTGTAAGGATGATGAATATATTTTATTTGTTTTTTTATTCAACTATCACTTTTTTCTCAGCAGTATCGCATCCCGTCTCAATGTTAATCATTTGGACCAGTAAAATTTGATTCCATTAGTATTATCAACTCCTCAAAACCATTAAGTTTTGAAAAAATGCAGTGTATTTGCTCTGAAAAACTCATTTTGATTGTGAAACTGCAGGAACGCAAATCTCATGTGTGGTATTTTGAAATCTCGGCTCCCATTTCATTTTATCAAAGGAGGACAATCCATTGCTACTGTTTGAAATTTGCACAGATTATTCTTTACACAGAAAAGAAAAATCAAGAAAGTTTTCAAGAAATGTTGACAGGTGTTTTTTCGATTCAAGAAAAAAAGTATGACAGGAAGCCTGCAACTTGGCAAACTGAGGTACGCATTTTTGCAGTTTCATCGTTGACTTAATTTTCAGTTCAGTACAACTTTGGTTACAAATGGCAAAGGAATTCGTCCCGAATTCTCTTTCAAGCTACTTACATGATAAAGTTCGAATAAAAAAGACATCTCTTTTAAAAAATTCATCAAAAAATATTTATTTTCAATTCTAATTTATGTGCAAATAACTTCTCCATTGAAATTTTGACAGCCCATTTTACCTTACCCACGTCATGCAGTTTGATGGCAGCATAGTGCGCAAGTCCAAAAGCAAGTCGAAAGAAAGTCCAAGATTTTTGTGCCCTTGCCTAAACCTTAGTCAAAAAGAAAGGGGGAAAAAAAAGAAAAACACGTTGTAATTGAAGTCAAAATAATTTGGCCGTTAACTGTACCTGCAGATTTCTTTTAGTTATCCTCCATCCTGTCTTTTTTTTCAATTTAAAATGAGCTTGAAATGAATTTGTGCTTGTAGAATTAGTTGAACTCTTGGACAGTACTCAGTAAAAGGAATCATTTCCTTATTTTGTGAGAAAAAGTACATTCAATGCCAAAAGGACTTTCTCTAAAGTTCAAGGCATGAAAAACTCCCATAAAGTAAAAACTGAATGGAAGTTATGATGTTTTGCAGTCAGTGAATCTTTACACTTCAAGAAACAATTAGTAAACTTGCACTGCTTGCATTGGAAATGGACGATGGATGATAAAATTTATCCTCTGTTTGAATAAGCAAAAACATAAGTTTTTTTTGCCAAAAAAGAAAGAAAACAATTACGCTTGAGTGAAATTTTTGAAACATTTACTTACTTTTAAAAGAATATCCACTTGCTGAACGATAAACAGACGTTTGCGACACTATTAAAAATAAAATGTCCAATTAATAATCCTCTAGACAACGTGTTTTTAGTAGAAGAATCTTCTCTGAAGTATAAAATGGAGACAAAGTATATATGCTGTCAACTAAATTGCACACCGGTTAAACACCGGTTGGTGCGATTGGTCGAGTATTTAATTGTATATTCACTTTCTTTTTTAATTTGGAGGAACACCATCCAAAATGTATTTTTCTCAAATAAAATAGGAGGAATGTTTTAGACTCTTGCAGGAAAAACGCAATGAATAGAGACGTCCATTTTGTGCAATAGCGGTATTCCACCTTAAATTCAGCAAATCTAACAAAAAGAAGTGGCCAATAATCGCAATTTTTTCGTTTCAAATGCTACCTTGGTTGATAGATCTGTATTTTATGTCGAATGGCATATAAAATTCTCTGCATAATGTAAAATTCGCATTTTATCAGAATAAATGACAATGGCTCTTGTATCAGTCTGGTTACTAAATCTAGATAACTTCTACACTCACCTGATCTTGCGCGAAGAAAAGGCACTGCTTTCGAAAGTCGCCTAGTAGTCTGCCATTGTGAGTCTTCAAAAAACGGAGCCCTTGAATTTTCTGTCAGAGCTGAGCAATCGGTCGGGCTTGACTCCGCAGACATGATTTCTAATCTGAGGCGCCTCTATCTATTCTCGTGTCTTCTCAAAATTTTGCTTTGTCGCCATACTTTTTTCCTTACATAGAAAAATAAATCAGAAATTTTTGTCAGACCACCAGTGAGGACTTCAGAAGATATGTCAAGATTAGATATACAGTAGAATCTAGATTATATCTCTCGGACTGGAGCTACCGCGGATAAGTGAAATTCGTGGATAATCCGAAACCAAGCTATTTGGCCAGGAAACGTTATTTGAAAGGCTGTACTAAAAAAAAAAGAAAAGAAAAAGAAAAGAAAAACAAATTCTATAAAAGTACTCTTCAAATAATAGATCATAGAGAGTGTTATCATTGGTTGAAAATGATTTCTCCACAAAGAAGTTATTTTGTCCAACATCATTTCCGGAAGGAATTTTTTTGCAGAAGTTGGCGCCACAAAATTGCAGCGTCTTGGGGCCAAAGCCACCAAAAAACCGCGGTTATTCGATGCGCGGATAATTCAGACTCCACTGCAATGTACATACTACCGAGCAGGCTAGTGGCAGGGCCGGATTAAGGGGGTGGCCACATGGGCCTCGGCCCATGACGGCAAGTCTGGGGGGCGGCAAATTTTACAATTGTTTTAAATGTAGGTATAAAAAAAATCGGATTTAGGAAAAAAAAATTACAAACGAAAAAAGGCGACAAAATCTCTCATTTCCTGAGAGTATAGTAATTTCTAATTTTGTCGTCTTTCAGTGATACAAGTGACAGTACCTTTAATTAGTCGAGTTAAGAGAGAAACCAAACACACAATTTGGCCTGGAACGGCGCGACTTGGAGAGATATGATGACGAGGACTTGAGATGAAAAGGAGAAAGCCCTCCGCGCGGCGATCGATCGGCATGTAACACATATTAGCGCCTACAAGACTGCACGAATACTTCACGCATTGCATCAAACACAGTGCGGTACTGCGGTTACTGCGGTCAGCGTGAAACGGATAGCGCCTGCAAGAGTGCATGAATACTTCACGCATTGCGTCAAACACAATGCGTTCAGCAGCGGTCGGCGTGAAAATCATAGTACCTACAAGACTGTCGGAATACTTCACGCATTGCGCCAAACACGGTGCGGTCTGCGCGGCGCGGCGGAAGTTAAAATTATTAAACCGCATTTATGTTTGTTCTTTCATAATTTTTTCGTTCATTTCTTATGAATGGAAGACCTTGTCCACACAGAGATAGGTTTTCGAAACTTAAATTTCGCGCCAAGTTCCGTGAACTTTTGGCTTTCCCAAAAAATGTGTCCAACACGAGTAAACGTGTCTTATGCACCCCTCTCCCGCTGGCACGTTCACTTGATGGTTTTTATTGATGTTTCAAAACGAATGAGAGGGGGGCGGCAAGATACAAGCGGCCCATGCATGGGCGGCAAGTAGGTAAATCCGACCCTGGCTAGCAGCAATATGCCTACACCCGTGGTCGCGAATAGTTACCCCATTCCGCCTGCCGTGAGTGAATGCAAATATCGAAAAAAAAAAAAAAAAAAAAAAAAAAAAAAAAAAAAAAAAAAAAATCTGCCCGAAAAAACTAAACTCAAAGGTAAGTAGCACATGTGGCTATTGTAAATAATGAAGGCGAAATTAAATAATGGGGAACAGAGAGTCCACCCGAAAAAGTACATGCAAGACAGTTCCATGACAACTATTGCTATCGCGGGGCGATTGCAGAAAGCAGCTTATTTCCATTTAGCATATACGTTCATAGGTAGCACCAGTGAGTCACACCGCTAGTAAAAATTTAGAGTTATTCTCCGCGCAAGAAATTTTGATCTCTTCATTTACATTTTTCTACAACTCTCTTCAAAATTTTTACGACTTTCCTTATCGGTTTCTGTATGTATACCACTACTCAGGGAGAGAGTTTTGCCAGGTATTCATTAGCTTTATCAAACGAATAACTCTGACTGTTGAGAACTTAAGATTTCCCACTCCACTAATACGTACCTACTTCTTAGCTCCGCTTTATTTATAATGCTAAATGAGGATGATTAATTTTTTCTAATTACCTACCTCTCTGCTTGTCAAAGGCTGAAGAGCTAATATCCGTCAACCGAAGATTCACCAAAAATCACCAATGTCAATAAACACAATAGCTCAATGAATTTTCACCGGGTTTCCCCCTTTTGTTAGTCAGGAGGAGGAGCAAGATCGAAAAATCTCTTTGCTGTGCAAATTGCTCACTCACAAATGGAAGGCGCACTATAACTTGCCACTTTCACAGGAAGCACACACTTTCTAAGAGCTTGTTATAGTGGTTCTACGTGAGGAGACGTGTTTCTGACCGATAAATTGGATAGATTTGCTAGGAATAGGTACAAGGGCAGCGGATTCACTGGAGCGGCTTATTGTTCGTGACGTGGTTTTATAGGCATTGCAGAAACCTTACAAGTCTGTCTTGACCTTTTCAAAGGTGTTATTGTACATTTAATTCGAGCTAGAAGGGTTACTTAATACTGATGCTCTAATAATTATGATAATATTTGAGATCGGGGTTGCTCTCCAATTCCGTCGCAATGGAATTGAGGACGCCTGTATGTCTTTTATAATGCTGAAAATTGCTTTGATATGTCTTCATTCCATGCACTTGCGAACAACGTAGACGGAGCATTTCACCGAGTAGCGTCCTGTGAATTTCCGATATTTTTAAGATCTTGCCAAGATTTACAAGATCATCTGAGTGACAATATTAAAGTGACGATGTTCTTAAAATTGTTTTTAACCAAGGACACATTTTGATTTTTTCTTGAATATTGCTGTACAAATATTTCAAAAAAATAAGTTTAAAAGTCCCAATAATATTTTTAAAATTGAACTTTATAACAATTTGAGTTTTTTCAAAAATATTTTAAATAATGTTCTAATAGTTTTTTTTTAAATGAAATCGTTAAAAAATATTTTCACTTCAGCACTGCAGCATTTTAAAACTAATTTAGGTATATTGTAGGGTTTATTGGGCACCAGAGGGCTCCTAAATCCCTCCTTGGCCTCCTGTTGCGGCCCCAGGAGGGGCATTCATACATTTCCTACGTATAAGAAAGGACGGAAAAAGTGCCTCTGGCCTCTGCCTAAATAGTATGTCACAACGAAAAAATTGAAATGAAATTGCAATCCAATAGGTGCAATAAAATTTCACTATTTCCGCATAATTTGGTCAATAAATGCAGATTTTAAAAGTTCAGTAGACTGAGTTCAATGTATCAGGGAGATAGGCAATTTGCAATGCAAAGAAAACTTGATTGGAATTTGTTTTCAATTTCCTGGTAACACATCCCAAGAAGAGGAGCCCCTTCCATTCGTGGATAGGCAACATACTTAACGCTTCGGTGCCGTAGCATTAATTTTAGGTACCGCGTGGTTGCAATTAAAAACTATGAGCTCCAATCGGATTTTTCCCGTTTTCGGCGGCTTTTCTTCCTCTCAGAATTGCATCATTTTTGAACTGAGCGACTCAATTGAACGGCTAATTTGAAGATAGGTATAACTACCCAAAGTCAAAACATTTAAGAGGTTGATTTCGAAGTTGTTCTTCATCAATTCTTTGTGTTTTCCTTCGAAGAAATCAACATATGTTCAGAGCCGGATTTACCTACTTGCCGCCCATGGGCCGCCTGTATTTTGCCGCCCTCTTCTCATTCGTTTTGAAACATCAATAAAACCATCAAAAGGACGTGCCGGAGGAGGAGGAGTGCATAAGATGCGTTTACCTACTCGTGTTGAATACATTTTTTGCGAAAGTCTGTTAACACTAGGTACTAGCAAAATTTCACGGCAATTTGCTTCTCCATTTATAAGAAATGAACAAAAAAATTATGAAAGAACAAACATAAATGTTGTATAATAATTTTAACTTCCGCCACTGCGCCGCGCTGATCGCACTGTGTTTGACGCAATGCGTGAAGTATTCCTGCAGTCTTGTAGGCGCTATGCGTTTCATGCCAACCGCTCCTGACCGCACTGTGTTTGGCGCAATGAGTGATGTATTCATGCAGTCTTGTAGGCACTAATATGTGTTACATGCCGACCGCCGCGCCGAGGGCTTGTCCTTTTCATCTCTAGTCCTCGTCATCATTCCTCTGCGCTAAGCTCCAGGCCAGATTGCGTGTTTAGTTCCGCATCCTCTCTTAACTCGACTAATTTTAATTAGTCGAGTCGATGCTGTCTCTTGTATCACTGAAAAACGACAAAATTAGAAATTACTATACTCTCAGGAAAGAGAAATTTTGTCCCCTTTTCTCATTGATAATTTTTTTTATACCTACATTTAAAAAAATTTCAAAATTTGCCGCCCCCTAAATTTGCCGCCATGGGCCACGGCCCATGTGGTCACTCCCTTAATCCGGCCCTGCATATATGTTTTACAAATATCCCATCCGTAATAAGACCACAGCCACACTAGGAAGGTCAGAGAAATTGGGCAAGAAATCAAAATCTTACAATTTTGATGGATACGCCCTTCTTCAAATAACCCGTTCAATGTATAGACGGCCCACAATGAATCGAGTCAGTAGGAGAGGTCGGACAAAATTTGGAAACTTTAAACGCCTCTAACTCCATTTATATAAAAATTTGAGGTTCTATAAGTAGCTCCATTGGTTTCCTCTCGAAACCCTCTTAAACTCTTAAAGCAACCCTTGAACTTTAAAATCTGATGAAATAAACATCAAAATTTGCAGTTTTAGTCAAAAATTCCATGCCCGACCTCTCCAATGGACTCGATCCACTGTGCGGCCCCCGAAGAGATTTCGAGGAGCGTCTCAAATTTTTGGTCCGCATGTCGATCCCATCAAGGGCGGACGGGGAAGAGGGGTGGGGGTGGTGTCATCAGCAACGAAGACGATGGTCTTCGGTGTCGTCGGATCCGAATGAATCGTTAAAAACAGTGAGCGATGACCCACTTCTCAGCGACAATCGTCGCGGTGTCGCGTCGGGCGTCGCGGCGCGCCCGATTACGAGATCCAGTCTCCTCTCCGGGCGTCGCGACGCCGACGTCGATGACTCTCAGTCCTTGTTCCGCGCCCCGGTCGCCCCGGTGACATCACCATGCCTCCTTCAGGTGACGCACTTTTACTTTTCACTAATTATCGTCCCACCATCTGCTTTTCGGCTGTGGAGAATTTGCATGAGAGACTTTTACTGTCACTTATACTGCCGTGCTAAGGAAAAACGCCGTATGAACCTTCAGGCATTGCCAAATTTCGATTGATAAAACACGAATTTCCTGGTAAACTTTTGAATATTTTTCTTCTAATTTTTAGGATAATTTTGCTCGCAATTTCACTCCAAGTTCCTGAAAATTTCAAGGAGAAATATTAATAATTTTCCTCAAAAATAATCATTTTACTGAAGGAAATTTGGCAACTCTAAAATTTCCATACGGCGTTCTTCCTTAGCACGGCAGTATTTGGGTGGCGAAATTTCAAGAAAAAAAAAATTGTGAGATTTTAAGTAAGATTTTAAGAGATTTCATGAAATTTCAGAAAGATATGAATGATATATCTTTAATCAATCAGGGAAAAAACAGACTTTTTTATAATTGGGCCGCGTTTAGCAGAAAGGAACCAAACCACATCGGCTGTTGTCAAATTTAATTGTGCTATTTAATTTTTACATGAAAACGGTTGTGCGGATTAATGTGCAAATGTCAATGAATTTTCTGCATAGTACGAGGCAAATTCCTCAAGATTTTCAAAGGCATCCGCACAAATGCTCTCTTGTAAAAAATTAAATTGCCCAGTTAAATTTGGCAATAACTGACGTGGTTTGGTTCCTTTCTGCTACACGTGGTCTACTTATTCATACCTGTTAAATGTCGAAAATCTGCATAGATCCTCTAGCGAGTTTTTTAATCTTTTTTGCCATCGAAATTACTCCTTTTGTCAATTTTGCCTAAGAAAATACTCAAAACGGGTGTCCTAAAATACCAGTTTTTTTGAAAATTTATCTTAAAACTACGATTTTTTTTGGGAAAAATTTTGACAGTCATTGGTACTTGGGAGGATCACTGGCAAGATATCGAGTTCTAGAGTGGAAAAATGCGTATCATCGATTGCGACGTTGTAAATTTCCATTCATGCTTTATTATTTTGAAAATGAAACTATCCTACAGTTTTTCTTAGAAATTTCTGTGATTTTTTTATTCATTTGATAATATTTGCAGAATTTAAGAGGATATATGTTAATCAAAGGTACTTTTGTACGAATATGAAATACGCATATTCACACAGGGTTATTCACTTGTATATATATCATTTTAATCATTATTATTTCAAATGCAGGAATCCTTTTAGCAGCGTTAGTGTTATTCATCTCTAGAATTCAGTTTTCTAGTGAAGACAATTCGCAACAATCGAATATTAGACTGGTCTCCAAATTTAGCAATAACTTGGTTCCTCATCTATTTAAGGTAAGAGCCAAAAATTATAAAACACAAAACTTTTGCATCAAAATATATTAAATGAACACACTAAAGCGAGGTCATAACTACTACATAAATGTTTTTTCAATGTGAAATGAAATATTACACATTTATTTTCGCACAGGGTAGAAAAGGGAATACAGAAGTTCTGGCTGTTATGCGATAAATTTAAACATTAGTTATAAAAGTACCAGACTAGAGTACGGTCAAAAAATAAAATATTATTAAAATATTAAAAAGTCACTCTCTGGTCAGAGGAAATGTTTAAATTTTTTTAAAAAATTAACTTTGCCGTTTTGATTATGTTGCTTCATATCTCAACCTTCTCTTAAATTACGAGGAAAGCTAGATTAAAAGTTTTACAGAAGTCGAATGTCGGCAAACTTTTCCGTGCCAACCGGTGAGTTAGACACTGATTTCATCAATGGTCATTAGTTTTCAGAATACTTTATTTTTGCAGGCTCTGTCAGAGGAAAATGAAAATTTGGTCTTCTCTCCATTTGGCCTGGCTTCCAACCTTATGATGGTAATTGAAAATGCTGATAAAGCAGCTGTTGGTGAGATTGTTGATGTATTTAAATTGGGGAAGAATCGTATGCAACTGAAACGGGGCTTTAAAACTCTCAACGAAGAATTTATGGTAAGAATAACACAAATAACTCAACAATTTAACGTTTGCCATACAAATTATATTACGTCAGGTCAAGTTAAGGTGAGTCCGGAGTAATAAAGTTCTGCGTATCGACAACGTTTCGATACGTGACCGATTATGAGTTCCACTCGGGTTATTTAAAAAACTCGGATCGATAAAGGGTAGATATGGGTCTAAAGCGTTCATAATTAAAATTTGAAGTTAACTATCCCAAAATAAAATAAAGTACAGCCGCAAAATTTATTTAATTAACCATCATTATCGATCCATGAAAATTTTGTCTTTTTTGGGTCTCACTTTTGTTTTTTTTTTTTTGACCTCAAACTGAAATCATATACTCTTGAGTCTTGAGGCATAAGTATATTACCTATCGATCTGATTTTTTAAAAATGATCTGAGTTAATCTGATAATTAGTTATGTATTGAAGTGATGGCGGCGGTACACGGAACTATTTACCTTTGCCTCATCTTGAAAAGAAGGAAGAAAAGACTGAATAATAACTGTATACTCAAGCTCTTGTGTACACCGGACAGCTGAGTATCCGGCAGCCAGCAGCAGGTACGTTATAACATTGGACTTGGAATTGCCTAGGTCCTCAAGTGAAGGCGTTTTAACACCGCCTCAACATTATCCACGTCGAGTTACGAGTTATTAAGAGAAGCTGAATGGAGCACGTCTCTGTGGCTGAGCACAATTCGATGCTCCTCTCTTGGATGTGCTTTATTCCTTTTTCACTGAGTGTAACACTCAAGATAGCGATGAGCATTTAGTAGTCATCCATCGGTAATCAATACAAATGAATCCACGAATAAAAAATAAAACCGCTGAAAATTCCGACGTAAGCGAAGGAATGGACGTATTTATTTAAAGATCAACTATGTACAAATGAATTAAATCTGAAGGTAGCATATCAGTTAGAGATTTAACGCTTATTGTGTGTTCCTATCATGTATTTTGATTAATATTTGTTGCCTCAGCTAAACTCACTGAAAGATGATTTGGCTGGAGTCTTCAGTCGGATTTCTGTGGTAACTTCTCAACCCTTGGCGCCATCTTTTGAGGAAATATTACGAAACTACTTCCAGGCCAATGTTACCACGGTGCACAACGAGACAGTGCTAGATGAAGATTCAGTAGCTCATGGTAAATATACTTTTTTACATTGTATCAATGAAGAAATTACAAAATTAAGTATTCGACAACGGTGTTTCAGCATTTTATTCTCTCCTGTTCAACCTTTTGGAAAGAGTATCTCTTGATTTTTTGGTACGAAAAATTTAAAGAATATCGCTGGAAGGGTGAAAAAAAATCACATGAAATTTTGCACAGTAAAGATGGCCAATCGTCTGTCAAAAGAGTAAAATTTGATGTAGAAAATGCAACGATGAAAACTAAGACAAGAGGTTTCTTGGTTTCGCCATTGATACGATATTCCAAATAAGAGTCCTGATACAATGTCGTTATTCTGTTGGGACTTCAACATCTCTAGGCGAAGGAATATTCTTTAGATATTCTCAATGATCCGATCGAGAATTATTTTCCGCGTTCTCTACATAAGCTTTCGACACTGTAAGTACGTGATGAGTCGCATAACTGGATATCCGCCGCTTGTAACCGAATTTCTTGTATACATTAAAATTACTTCGTATTGCTTGGTTCAATTCACTTTCACCTTTGTCTACGCCTCCTTTAAGTGCCATCAAAAAATGGACGTCAATAAACAGAAGATTTCTCTACATTGCGTCATTAGTCTCCCTCTGCACATGAGTATTTTTATAGACGAGCTATAAATTGTAGTCCCTAATTGCAAAATTACACTGGAAAAAAAACACATTGGATTTAGAGTCCAGACTCTTAGAAACACCGACAAGAAAAAACACTCTTGATTCAATCGGATTTTTGCTTAAATCATGAACCAAGCCTCTTAATTTGAGCGGATTTCCTTTTGATTTCAGCTTAAATTTGATTGAATCAAGAGTATTTTTTCTTGTCAATGTTTTCAAGAGTCTGGACTCTAGATACAATGTGTTTTTTTCCAGTGTGGTTCAATTAATGTATGTTTCTTTTAACGGTTTGAACGGCTGTTGGGATTTGTTCAGGTACCGCTGTGCGACTTGAGAGTGAAATAGGGGTGGTAAGTCACTGGCTGGATTACCAAAAACTAGCCGTGTACACGTACCTGTCACACAACCCCGCCTCGCTATTTTACTTGTCCCCGAATGTCACCGTCCGAGTCCCCATGATACCGCAAATCGGCGCATTCCGTGGTGGTTACGTTCCTCAGATCAGAAGTTACGTCGCCGAGTTGAAACTGCAGGTAAGTTGCATCGCTGTTTCTTCAATTCTCATCCTCTCGATATGAAAGCACAAGGCTATTAAAGCCGTGTCTAAAGCAAAAGCTAGATTAGAGGTCATTTCTTCAAAATTTGCTATCTCATTGAAAATTGGCTCAACAATTGAATGAAAGCATTAGAAAAGTCTGAAATACACTCCTTATTATATAAATTTGTGTGAGAAGTATGCGTTTCTTTAAGCTTCCCGCCTCAAAAATGATACAACAGCACAGATGAATTTTTCGTAAAAGGAGTCGTCCCCCTTGCGCCGACCCGCTAAAACACACGTGACGAAGAAGAATTTTACTATCTGGTGTGGTTTATATTTACATTTAATTCATTTCTTCAATGAAGACTATATCGACGGCAAAACTACCAAACCACGTATCTCGGTTTGCGACGTCGCAGACTTCCTGTCATACTTTATTTTTTAAATGAAAAACTACTTAACATCCAGTCTTGAAAATTTCTGTGATTTTTCCTCTATGTGCGGAAAAAATTCCGTGAAAATTTCAAGGAATGATATTGATTTGGTCTACATAAAAAAAATAGAATGTGAGCGTCGATTTTTGAACACCACAAACGAGATACGTGGTTTGGTAGTTTCACCGTCGATATGGTGCTTCCTTACGAATTGCAAGGACCCGTCAGTCACGTTGAATATTGTGTAGCAACCTAGCGCGCAATGGTCAGTTGGAACGACTCCCCACACGAAATATTCACCTGTTCCGTATCGTTTTTGAAGTGAGAAGCTTAAAAAATCATAAATTTTACGCAGATTGTGAAGATAGGAGTGTATTTCAGACTATCTGGATCTCTCATCATGATTTTTAAGTCATTCTCTGTTAGGAATAACTCCTCTTTTTGCTCGAGCTGAAGTTTGCAGCAGGCTCCTTATTGGTATAATTTGGAAGTATAATAATTGATTCCAGACCAGTTGCATGAGGCTAGTTCTGCTGATGCCAAACGTGACGAGCTCCGGGAGCTCGGAAGAGGAGTTGGCCAAACTGTCGTTCAGATCCGGGCTCGACGAACTGCTCAACGTGATCCCGGCGAAGGAGATGGAGGTGCTGCTCCCGCAACTGGCCATCATCAAGAAAGACATAGACCTCGAGCAGGTCCTCCGCGATTTCGGAGTCGATCTCGTCTTCAACGACACGCTCGTCGAAAGGAGCAAAGACAGCGTTTACATCGAGTCGATCAAACAAAACGCTTATTTCTCCACCTCTTTCACCACCGTCAACTCGGCCAGCGCCATAGAGGCCGACCTAGGTGAGAGCACCGGTAGCTTGATTCTTAATTATTTTTAAATTTAATAATTTAATTACTTAACTTTTGACTCTGACTCCAGTTGAGGATGTGCATGTAATTAGTAAAATTTTTCTGGTACTAAACAGTCATATCTTTGCGCGAATATTCAATATTCAACGAGGAAGCGTTAATCTGGCAACCTTGGTAGTTTGTGGTAGATAACTACATTGCGGAAGACTGTTCATTCCCTCATCAATTACGGGCATGTCTTACTTCGATGGATAACCCTCGCAGCACGAATGGCCTAGACATTTAAAAGGTGAGCTAGGGATCTGGGGCAGCTACGCGGCCGTCAACCATTGGAAAAACCTACACGTAAAAAATCGCAGATCAACTATGTTCAATTTTTCAAGAGATGAAAGGATTCAACACGCAATCTTACAGCATTGCTACAGTCTTGTACGCGTTAATATGCGTTTCACGCCGACTGACCGATTGCACTGCGTTTGGCGCAATGCGAGAAGTATTCATGCAGTCTTGGAGGCGCTAATATGGGCTTGACACCGACCGCACTGTTTGGCGCAATGCGTGAAGTATTCCCAAAGTCTTGCAGGCGCTAATATACGTTTAACGCCGGCCGCACTGTGTTTGGTGCGATTATTCGAACTCGCGTTAGAATAATCTCGGCATCGAGCAGTAGAGCTTAAAATGATTTTTTCGACGCTGTACGAGCATTCCTATGTTGCCTTGTTTCTTCCGATTGAATATTTTTTCCGAAAAAAGTTGGGAAAGTGTTTCGTACCCACGACCATTATTCAATCTTTTCACTTCATTGATCATCAGAAGGTAAAAAATCGCTGACCCATCATAGGAATAATACGTTTATTGTTAGCTCACAGATCTTAGTCATTAATTAAGTACCCTCCAATTTTCGCCCAAAACTTTAGTATCTTCATTCATTATTTTAAATGAAGGAAAAGAAAGAATAGGAAGTATATGAATTATGCTTGGCCATGAAATATGCTCTCACTTATCTATACGCGACCTTTTTTTACTGTAATTAGTGTCGTCTTCATTTAAAGTGGCTGCGTCCACGTAACGGACATTGTGTCAGTGCATCTCGGCTTTTTAGGTTTTTGTGCGTCATCTAAACATGTTTTTAATTTGTTTCAGGTATAAGACCCTCAGCCAGAAAGAAAAGACAAGTGAAAACGAGGCTGATGTTCAACAAACCCTTCCTCTTCTACTTAATGCACTGTAGAAATGGGCTGATCCTTTTGACTGGAAAAGTGGTGAATCCTACGCAAGTGCCCTCTTGATGATTCTATATGTTTGCCGAAAATTCACTCTTTATTCTGGAAGTGTTTTAAACATAAAGAAAAATGTTAGGGGTTATCCCCTAAAATTGTGACGATAACAACATTTGTTGAATGATATGGAAATTTCCAATTAATTTTGGTAGTGCCGGAACTAAAGTTGGGGTATAGTTCCGTAACATTTGGGTTATTAACCTAATTTGTTGGATTACTAGCAAAATTAATTGGAAATGTCCAAGTCGGGACTCAACCCCTAACTCTCTTTTTTTCTTGAATAGAGGATAGAGAAAACCCAGGATATAATTCCCAGGTCAAGTGCGATTAACTATTGCGCTTACTTCCTCAGTGAAAGAGATCTCTACTCTAATGATCGAAATACCTATTCGTTCTTCTTATAATTGGGGATACCTAATGTCACACACTTTGAAGGCTTAATAATATAAATTAACGGAATTTTTGTCGATTTTTGTAAGGCGGTTCATTCTTATGTATCTAAAAAATGTAGCATCGCATGTTAGAGTTTATGTTAATTTTTTTAAAAGTTGAATTCCATAATTTCATGAGTGGCAATGACTGTGAAATTAATTTCTTTCATCGTCATTAGAGAATAGGTCCATGATAAAAATTACTTTTTGAGACTTTTTACAATCACAATTTTACAGGGGTGATTAATAAGTCATTGCTTCAAGATCGAAATAAAAAAAAATGTATGTGTCAGTCTCGTGCGATGTCAAACGTGAAAGGAAGTCGGAAAGTTCATCTATATCAAACGCTCATTTGCTGAAAATATAATTCTAAAACTTTGATATTTAACATTATTTCCCAGTGGAGGGTTTTTTTCGTTCAATATTTGTTCATGAATCTGCGCGGCGGACTTTTTAAAAGCAAACCTCTGTTTCGCAGGACGAGACTTATTTTTTATTGTCTTTCAACTATTCGTCCCAAATTAGTTAAGCTGCTTAAGAGGGTATGTATCTGAACCGTGAATTGAAATC